AGCATGGGTGTGACGTTTGGCTGGTTCCACAATTGCCGGAGTCACCAGGCCGTAGATGCCACTGGGTCCTAAAATTCTTAGTCCAGCCGCTTCCTTGGCTAAAGAGTTGGCAATGCGATTACCTTCACTCCTATCGTGCCCTTCAACCGACCTCAGGATAATGTTATTATCCGGCTAAATCTTGGTGGCACTCTGGTACTAGCCCTGAGGTAACACGTTGTCTGTTCAAGGCTAATAGGACTTGTCTGCTATCAGTGCAGATTGTGATGTTTTTGCCATCACAATCTTTCCTGGTGTTTTCTTTTGTGGCAGTTGAGATACCATCCATTGAAATTATTATATTTACCGATTAATCGCAGATGATGATGAATATAAAACTGCTAATGACTCTAGAATAGACAATCCAATTTTCAAAAATGAAAAAGTGTTGGATAGAGACTCAAAATTCATATCAAACAAGGTATTACAAGATTCCCCTTCTCAATTAAAAAAATTATTGTTTTTCTGATTGTTAATTACTAAAAATGATACCTTTTAACGTAAATTCCTTTTCCAATCCGAAGGCGAATACCGCAGTAAACAACTGCTCATCCGGGTGACACCACGATCGACATTGATTATATCCATTACATTATATCCGACAGCCAGTTGTTTGGGTTTTCTCACAGAGGAAATTCTTGAAGATGCCTATAGTATTCCTCTATCAGTAGGACCTTGCTAAAATCAATCTAGTGATCACCTACATACCAGTTCCAGGGTATCATCCCTCGTAAGTGAAGGACAGGTGGGAAAAACCAACAGTCTACAGGATTCTAATGATTCCATCGCAAATCGACAGATACTGAAACAATCGTTCGTGAAAAACTCTGATAACTAGCAACAGCACCACATCTCATAAGCCCATCCCCAATCGGGAACGAATGATGTATTCTTATATGCGCTTAATTCACGATGAAATTATCTGTGTACCGGCACAGTGGTGTCTTGTTTCGGTCTGTACCATACTGATGAAACCTCGAAACGTAATTGACTTGCTGCTGAAAGAACAAAAAAACATTTGGAAAAAAAATTGTGAGGAAACTTGAATGGATAATTCAATGACCATCGTGATATCAGGGGGAAAGTAGATGCTTTTTGAGAGACAAGTTGATTTTGTATACATAGAAGGTTTTCCCGATCCTACCATGAAGCTGGTTTCATTGAATTAAAGGCTACTCAGTACTTATAGAAAACTTTGTTTGAATTGTCTGTTTGGAAAACGTCATGACGTGTTCAAGAACTGTTGTGACAAAAAATTGAATAAATAATAATAATGAAAATATCAGTGAGACATAATGAAATTTTCATTTCACCTCAAGGCACGTAGAGTAATAATGTTTTGAAGGTAATAACAGAGACAAGTTGATTATAATAAAATTATTTTTATTTGTACACATGTATATCAAAGATCGTTCCAATAAAATATTCCTAAAATGTTTCTTTTCTGTATCGAGATCAATGATCAATGATGACAAATATGATTTTCATTATTATAGATACCCTCTTTCAATGTTTACCTTCACATAGGATAAAAGTATGTGAAAAAACTGTGATATGAATGAATCTTTTAGGTGAATGGTTTTTTTTCTCGAGCACAGAATCGAAATCAAATATGAACTGGCCAAAGCCAATAATCCCACACAAACATACACACACACACACACACACACACACACACACACACATAAACTCTAACAATCCCATTTTCATTATTTCAAGAAACATATTTTGTGTAATATTTATTGAAATGTTCTTACCTGGATGGTCCAGAATTTATCAAACATCTAGTTTTCGCTGAATTTAAGGTGCAAGAAAAAAGACTTGTGTAAAGTCTGATCTTCTCGTGAAATATTTATCGATTGATATAATTACTCAAAGGTTGTCCTTGTTAGTATATATTTATTTATTATAAAAATGTTGTGCCAAAAGTTAGCATATCAACTTTGTTTTTATACTACTCTAGGTAGATCTGAAAGGTTATATTAATAAAACTGTGAACTGATGCAATGTGTTTCAATGATTTTTCATAAATTGTATATACCTGTAAAATAACGGTGATTCTTGTCTTTAGAAAGTTTCTTTGGCTTTCCACTTCTGCATCATTATACAAAAAACGTGGGAAACTTCTAAAGAAAGGAAAAAACAAAATAAATACAAAAACCTGCATGGTGGTATGTGGATCAGATACAAATGGAAAGGTTTCCACATATTGTGTTTATTGATAAAAAATAGAAAACCAAAAATTTTTCATAAAAACTAATCTCTCCTGAGAATATCCCGTTTTAAATCCAATTGATCACTGCTTTCTTTTTCACTACAACCAACCTTGAGAACATAATAGTCCTCCAAAAATATTTTTGAAAAAACCTTCAAATGAAAAATGCTGAATTATTATACTGAAACCAACCTGTTTAATAATTTGAATGAGGACTAAAGTATCTATTTGTGAAATGAAGAGGAGATTCAAACATAATTAATGATATATTCCAGTACAGAATCAGGTACATTCGAACTTAAAATAAACATAGCTCTCTATAACAATAAAATAAAAACAATCTCTGATATTCCACAAAATAATAAAGAAATACAACAAAACCATTCTTTTGGTACCACATAAATTGAAGGCTGCTTTCTATTCCAGTTCTGGGAAGGTACTTTTTTCAAAAATCACCCGCCCACCTAGAAGCTGTTATTTTTGTTGAATGCATTTATCTAAATCATAGCATTTATTGTTACCTGTGGAAAATAATTGTTTAAAGTTCTCAATTCATTTGCAACATCTTTCAAATTGGAAGAAATATCGCCCAAGGAAGATTTTATTGTTTTTTTTTTCATCTTTTAACTCTTCAATGATTTCCCTGTATTCATTGTGGTCCATTTTGTGTCTCTTATGTGGTGATTCCATATCATCTCTCTGGGGCGTAGTCTTTGATGTTGAAGGTGTCTTCGATGTTGATGGTTCATCAAGACTATTTTCGCAGGACTCTGGTTCAAGGGATACAATTTTACCTACAGGTACACCACATTCTTGATTATTTGATCCCACGAAGTTTTCCCCTAATAAATCCAATATTTTCAGTTCTAATTCTTTCAGTGGTTTCACATCATCAAGTCCACCCCCAGTGCGAGATAATGAAGCTGTCATTGCAGCACCCTTTTTTTAATGAATATTTCAGATCCGACCAAGACTACAAATGAAAGCTTTAATAAGTTATAAAAAATCATCCCAATGTTTTTATACCGATCCTTTCCTCGAGGACCAACAAATTTACCTGTAACCAGACAAGAGTGCTTCTCCATGGCCTCTAACAAAATTTGTCAATGGGCCTCTCTTATTCTGAATGACATTTTTATAAAAATAATGAAATCCCCTCAATGACCAAATAATTTGAAACTGCTGATTTTACTGATCCTAACAATTGGGTACTCCACTTGTTCTTCACAAAAAACCATAAAACATAGAAATTTTCATGCATAAAACATACAAAACGCAAACTTCCATGTGAATGGAGGACCTCCTTAAGACAAATTCCGACGATAACCGATCATTCTTCCGTGAGAGAGTTCGAATAGCAACGTTTCGATTTGCGTCTCGTCTCGCACCGATACGATACGAGCAACTGTTAGACTTCCACCTCAGGGTCTGGCCATCAGTGGTGCCTGACAGACAGACTGTTGGTTGGCACTGGAAGTCACAGCATTCTGGAATTGACCTCTGACTTCATTCCTCCAACTGTCAACTACGAACTGCCTTATAAAGTACGAGTAGAGAGGACTGGATTCTCCAAGAGAAGGAAATATTAGGAGCAGATAGTTGTTGGTTCACAAATGGATCAAAAACACCTTCCGGTTCTGGTGCAGGTGTTTTCAGTCGCAGACCGAGGACAGATATATCAACCTACCTAGGAACCTATGCGACTGTATTTCGAACAGAAATTTACGCTATTGAATTGTGTGCGGAGAGATTGGAAGAATCCAACCTCATACACAAGTCAGAATCTTCCAGAATTGGCTCACTTCAAGGCGTTTATTTACCCCATTTTCAACCAAATAGTTGTTGGACTACAGTAGGGATGAACTACGATGACTAATATGCCTTCTTACTGGTCTCTGTCATTTGAATCATCATATGCAGAGACTCGGACTGTTGGAAGTCAGTGTGTTTTTGGGAAATGATGAAACAGCAGAGCACATACTTTGTGCTTGCCCCGCTGGGGACTGAATCGAGCTCTTAAAGTTTGGCAGAGCCGTACTTTTACCATCTGACCTAATAGACCATTCACCATAAAAAATAATCACACTGGTCGAGTGTGAATAGGTGTGAGCCACAATAAACCCTTGCGGGTTGCGGAGAGGGTCGAATGGACCCACTCATTTTGGACCTAATCTAACCCATATCATCAAGATACGTTTCGCTATGATGTAATATTGTAGAGTGTAAAAAATATAAAGTCGTTCTTTTAGATATGGTTGTTTCTAGAATTTAAATTACTAATTTTCCATTATACAATTGTTACTATTTTCTGAAATTCATTCCTTCCAAAATTTTGTCGCCGTTTCCATATTTTTCTTTTTCTGCTGGCAACTTTGTAGTAATCAAAAAACCCAGGTCATTTTGTTGTACCTACTATTGATAGTTCCAAAAATTCCAAAAAGGATCCTTCTTGACCTCGAATTGAAAGTGTGGTGAGGTTTTCCAGAGATTGTTTTTCGTAATGAAATAAAATTCCAGACGAAAATTCAGCCGGTTAAAATGTTATGAACAGTACTTTTGAAGTACTTCAAGTACTAGTACTTTACAAGATGAACCAAATATTCAATCAATTATTTTCCTTCCATTTCAATTCAATATCTCACACTATCATAATCTGTGAAATTAAACTCAGATGTGATCAATACCACGTTGTTTATCAGTTTCCATAGCAGCCATCACATTTATGTCAATATTGTCTTCAATTCTCCTTAAATATCCATAGTCACAAAATGTCTCCAAATTTGGAGGGACCAGTTCCTGAAGATGAACCAGAGGAAGAAATATCTATTTTCCTAACCCCCATTTCGAATCATAGTTCATCATCGTCCGAGGTAAATTTCACAGAAGACGCTATTCAAGAAGGTGAAATCGATGTTATCTTGTTGCCAGAAGAAACTGTTCACATTCCTTTGGAACAAAATTTGAGAGAGCTACTGGTGAGTAGTGGCCTATTTTTTCTGTCATTCAAATCAAATAATAATATATTCACATATTCAGTGCTTATAACTTTTTCCAAAAGTATGTTCAGAATGTTTTTTCATTCACGAAATTAAAAACCGATATAGTCAACAGTCAGTGTTGTCTAAAAATTACCGTTTTTCCAAATCAAAAATTCTATCATCGTCATGACAAGATCTCCAAATCAAAAATAGTCAATTATGTGAAGGAACACGAATGGAACATCGATAAATCGATTGCTGCTTCGTCCTTTATCAATGAAGGATGAGACCTTCGAAAATTTCAAAATCCATAAGAAGCCTCTTGAATGCAAATGAAATTTCATTTGACTTCGAAAATCTGAAACTGAATGAGCATATTCACTGTTTGGATTTTTTTGGCATATCATCATTTCCAGAATCTGAAAAAATGAAAAGTGTGGAGTACAAACTTCTATTTGTTTGAAGGTGATTGACAATGTTTCATGATAAATTTCACTAGTTCGGACTTCCATTGTCTACTATATAGAATGATTTGAAATCCCTAAAACAACTAAAAAAGAAGAACTGAAATTGAATAGCTGAAAGTAACAATTATATTAACCAAAATAAACCTGAAATGAAACAATAGTGGAATAAAATACAAATAAAAATAGAACAATTGAATAAATAAAAATGAAGAAATGAAAAACGAAAATAAAAATAAAAAGTGGAGAGGTTCCAAGTTACATTAGTTCACGACGTTTCGATTGTTAGTATCCACAATCGTCTTCGGGTGATGACTGGACTGATTCCTCCGAGAGATGACTATTTATAGGTCGTTAGAGTACTTTCAATTATCCCCGCTTTCCATTTTCCGCTTCACTGGTTCCGTGGGAGATGACCGTTTTGGCGGGAGTTGGCCATTTTTCGCTTGATGATGGGTTTCCAAATGTTGCGTATTTCTACGCTGGCTTGGCTGAATACGTTGTTGGACAACATGTATGCGGCTTCCTTGAATTTTCTCCTAAACCAATGTTCCTCTCTGTGCAAGATCTCAGCTTGGGACTACTCGATGTTGTGTTGATGGGTCCAAACATGGTCTGCTATTCCTGCTATTCACTATTGTTTCGTTTCAGGTTTATTTTGGTTAATATAATTGTTATTTTCAACTATTCAATTTCAATTCTTCTTTTTTAGTTGTTTCAGGGATTTCAAATCATTTTATATAGTAGACAATGGAAGTCCGAACTAGTGAAATACAAACTTCTAGTTCACTTCAATGAGTTACTGAGTAAATTAAATGTAATTTCCCACAAATGTTCTCAGAATATTTTTAGCTCCGCAGGATATCCGGCGTTGTGTCCTCAGAATTCCCCAGTATATTCCCCAGGATAATGAGTTATTCTCATCCTGTTCACGAGGTAACTAGAAATTGTGGTAGAACGATATCACAATTTTGTGCGATGAAAAAAGTTATCAGAAGAGAACACTCAAGTTTGTCGATAGATATCTCTCGAATCCGTTCGCCATCAACGCTGGTATTCCCCAAGGAACAATATTGTCTCCAACCCCTTCTTCACTGTATATCAATGACTTATTTAAATAAACGAGAATCCAATATATTGCTTTGCTGACGACAGCACACTTGCCTCGTCATTCCATTTGGATTCCAGGACATCGGCTACGGAGGCACATCTTCACCGGCAGCAGGAGGTTGCATATCTTAATGAGGATCTGAAAGTGATTTCGAATTGGGGTGAAAGTAACCAGGTTCAATTAAATGCCACAAAAACCCAAGCATCGGTTTTCTTCAAGGAGATGAATGTCTCCGAACCGGATATAATAATGTCAGGTCAGACAATTCCGCTTTCTTCTTCGATAAGTTTATTGGAGGGTTAGAATGGACACCAATATGTCTTGGCGAAATCATGTTGCTGGAATTGCAAAGGCTGCTTCTCAAAAGCTTGGAACAGTGTTCCGAACCAGAGAAATATACACACTTCAGCAACTTTTGATACTTCATATAGCTCAGATCAGATCTTCTTTGGAGTATTGTTCTCATGTATGGAGCTCTGACCCCAAATATACTCTGAAGTTGCTAGATTCCATCCAGAAAAGAGTCATCCGCCTGATTGGAGACGTAGACATCACGTGCAACCTTGATAGTCTGGAACATCGACGAAAAGTTGGAGATTTGTCTCTCTTCTATAGATACATTCACGGGAGGTGTTCAAGTCCTCAAAAGTCCTTCAAAAAAACTCGATTTATATCATCTACTTTCAGTGTTTCGTGAAAAATAATAATAAAAATAATAATTTTTCATAACTTGCAAATGGATTTTGGCGATCCCTTCTGGTAGATACCGTTCTTTGGTACCGTACAATATGTCTCGTTCGAGATGTATTTAGCCTTCAATGGCGACTAGAAAATTGGATGGGCTTCCTCAAAGAAAAGAAACGTTTCCTTTCAACATTCAAAGACAGATGAAAAGAGTCTACTAACCAAGAACTTGAAATTTTATCTCTGTTATTACAGGAAATACCGAAGTTTACAAAATTTTCAATATATTTCTGACGAAATTAGTCGACTCGTGTCTCTCGTTGGAAAAATGTCACTGATTCAAATGGCGCTCATTTCGATAGAATTGAACGAGTATCCACTGAGATATTACACTTTGAAGTAGGCTCTTGAAAACGGAATAAACTCTTTAAACAACCTTATGAATAACGAAAACATTCAACATCTAAAGGAATGATGTCAAAGTTACAAAATTTTATTAAAATTTCAAATGAGATTGAAAATGATTATGTGTTAATTATCTGCTATCATTTTAGATCTACTAACAGTACAATAAAAATAGATGTACTATAAAACGGAGTACAGCTGAAGAGATGTTCTGCTTCCTCAATTGATAACTGATATTTCACAGCCCTGAATGAATCTTCGTGAAGTTTACAACCAGTAAATTTCATCAGTAGAAAATTATCATATATTTTGGGACTTTGCCATCGACAACTGTGGCTATTCGTGTTCCGAGTAGGTCATGTTAGGCCCCTGAATTATCTAGGAAGTATCACGCATATACTAACGTCTAATAAACTATTTAAAAAAATATGAATCAATATCGGAAAAACAATTTAGCTTTAGAGTGTGTGAAGAAACAGTAGTAAAATATGGTGTTCCACAGGGGCTATACCTTTCAATGTTTATCTCAACGATTTGCTGAAACTAAATTCAGAAGGAGATGTGGTTAGTTATGCTAACGACACAGCAATTATATATGTAGACGAGGATTGGAAATATTTAAAAAAAAAGCTGAAAGAGACTTGAAAATAACCCAAGAGTGGTTTAAAAATCGGCTTTCAACAATGAACATCGAGGAAACACATTTCATACCTTTCACCTCATACGTGAAGAACTTACCAGAATATGACACCCTTCAAATAGATGGCAACCAAACAATATCGATGGTCCAACATATTAAATATTTGGGAGTATTCATAGACTGTAATTTGAAATGAGACATCAATATCGCCTTCGTCTTGAAAAAACTACGAAGTACATTGACAAAGTTCAAATATCTATCGAATATTTTGAAAATTGATCAGCTTCGGATATTATATCATGCCCTAGTTGAACCACACTTGAATTATGGAATATTAGCCTGGGGAGCGGCAACAAATAATTATACCAAACAACTGGAGAAAATACAAAAGTGGATCATCAAAATAATATTTAAGAAACCATACACTTATCCCACTAATGACTTATACCGCGAAACGAAGTTATTTGATCTTCGACAACTATATTTTCTATCAGCAGTAATGCCACAGCATACTCACAGAAATACGCTGATAGCCATTAATCATAACTACAATACACGTCACAAAATGAATTCTTCTGTCATACCAAGATCAGAAAAAAACACCCTACAAAGAAGTTATGTCTACTTGGGACCGAAATTATATAGCTTGATCCCTCATGAAATGAAAGAATATAATTCCCATCATTTATTTGAAGCAAAACTTAAGGAATGGATAAGCGCCCAGTCACGCCTTTTCATCCATCAATATATTGATATAAAAACATATATTACAATTTGTTATGAAAAAAAATCAAATTGAAAAAAAAATTCACATAGAAATTATTACTCTATAATATAAGTATTCTTTCATTATAAGTATCCTTTCGTTACTGTTTCCTTGGTATTTATATTTAATATATACAACATTATTCTCTCTTCATTCAAAACTTCTTCCATGATATTTTATATATACATTACTTTTAATTTTATATTAGCAACACCATTTTTACATTTTATATATAAAACACTATTTTTTCTATATTTTATATGCTTTAGACTTCATATTTGAGTTTTATATACTCTTTTCATGATATTTTATATATACAACATTATCCTTAATTTTATATTTATAGCACTATTTTTAAAATTTTATATTCACTTATATTCATTTATATTGAATTTTATTTTTACAACAATATTTTTATTTTTCGAACACTATATAATTCATATTTCAATTTCATATTTTCTTTCAATTTTCCTGATATGATTTCGAGATTCTGGATCTACGTAGACAATTTCACTATAGTCAAGGTCCGCCTTTTGGTATTTTGTCAACTTTGACTAGATCTCCTATTAGGCTAATTGAATGTATAGCTATTACTTTTGTGAAGTTTCACTCCCACTACCAAGGCTTGCTTTGTTGGGTAGTATGTATTTATTTACAATTGAATGTCTTCTTTTATTGTACCTTTTCTTTAAATGTAATGTGAATAAATATTATTATTATTATTTAAAGTTTTGTCAGCGATTCAACGTAGGAAAACGAAACCAACTTCAACATTTGAACTCACAAACTCTGTACCGCGAGTCTTACACAGATGTGCTTTTCGGATAACTCCATTAACTCTCTTGCAGGTCAAAGTAACAAATACTGAAGATCTCTCGACAGTTACGCATATCAAACTGAGAGTGATCTCTAGAGAAGTAACTTTGCAGCATCTTAGCATCTATACCCCCGCATTACGGGAACTAATACTAGATGGAAGCATGGTAACGTCTCTAAGGGATATAGGAGGAGGCCTGAAAAACTTAAAAATCCTCAGGGTAAACCATTGCGGCCTAACCTGTATAGATGGCGTATTTGGGATTGATACTTTAGAGGAGCTATATGCTGCTGATAATTCAATCACCAATTTAGCTCCCTGTGCGTTCTTAGCTAATATCAGGATCGTTGATGTACGCAGGTGAATATTTTTCATTGCTCTATACCAGGCACCCACTCAACTAGAAAAAATCTGACTTTTGTGGTGTTCAATTTCCTCAAAATCATTCTGTAACTGTGATTTATTAACGAACGACATTTTTTTTTTGTACTCTTGACCAAATCATCTTATTACATTTATTATTTATCTACTTTCATTCATTTCATAAACATGTATGTTCCTTGAGAATAACAAAGTTATTATTATATAATACATTCAAGAAACAGTTCATTGCGAAATTTTAACAGAACACTTTTATAAAAACCCAACAGATGTTTTGATATACAAAAGCTTCTTCAGGGGTGTCTGTACACTCGAAACACGTGTTGTGTTTTCGTAAAACTGGTGAATGAACGTCTCACAATGAAGTGTTTCTTGAATACGTTTTGGATTTTCATCAAGTATCGACCATTTTCATCACATATATCTAATATATAAAATTCTCGTATCACAGTGTTAGTTACGATAGGTTCAAATATGTTTTTCACACCCCTAAGTGATAAGGTTGTTCAATCCCAAACAAAATGTTTTGTTTGGGATTGATGTCAGGCGTCTATCGGTGTCAGATACCACTCAATAAATAGCACGGGGTAGGGATGAGAATGCCTACACAGTTTTCAGCCACTATTATTGTTTATCTATCTAGCGTAGATACAGTTTGTGATGCCACAGAAGTTATGCATTATCCAATAGAAATATTCAATTCATTCTACAATCCTCAATCTGTACAACTGTAATTTATTATAAAAAACGATTCTTACATACATATCTCTTTCTAATATAGTTACTACATTCAAGCGTTATAGGCGTAATCTGTTGAATTTCCAAAACTTGAGAGGAAGGTTGAATGAGGTCAAGTATAGACAGAATTGATTGTACTCGAACTGATCCAACAAAAGCTTCTTAGGTAATAATACCATGAACCCTAATAAAATAAATCAATTATGCATTCATGCCACCCACCAAAAATAAGAAATTCAGCGTTACTGGTATATTAGCCATACTGTCATCCAGTCAGCCAGCGCCCTCTGTAGTATATGCGACAATGTGCTTTTTCTAATGTCAACGGTTTCCACAAACTTCGTATTTTTGTTATAATAATTTGAAAATGAAGGTTGAGCCTAGTTTTGTTGAAGTAAACTCCCGACAAATTACCAGAAGTCGATTTTGAAATGATCGATGAATTTTACTTGAAAAATTTGCAATACTTTGGTACCGAAATGAAGAATGAAAAACTGAAACGGTGGGTGGTATATTTAGTAGGTCCCTTTTATTTTTATGACATCCATTTCAGACTTTGTCTTTTATCGAAGGATGGGAAGTTTTTATTTTATTTTTATTTTATCTCGGCTAAGGAGCAGTATGGCGACTGAAACTAGAAGCAAAAATATGTGTAGTGAAATGTAGGATTACTCCAGAACATATCAATCCAAAAATAACCTAAAAAAATATTTTTCGGAATGTAAACTAATGACACGGAATATGCAGCAAAATAGGCACCCACCGATACCTACCTTTTACAAAAAAACGTTATTTGATTAGATAATTGTAACAGTTGTATTCATACCGAGTTGACAACAATAACAATAAAAATGGCGTCCGTCAAATTGGATCATCAGATCTGTGATTGGATATTAAAAACCAATTCACTTAGCAATTCCGCTCTGGACACGATCAATTTTATTGGCCAACAGACACGCGGCCAATTCAAATTCTTGTTTTTCGAATTTCTCTTTTTTCTGCAAATATAAAGAAATTTTGGGACCGATTAGGCTTAATAAGTATAATATACCCCTAACTCGATCAGTCTATAAGCAAACCAGTATTATTTTCCATAGAATTTTGTTGTGCCCAAGCATAAGAACTGTGACGGTTGAAAATGTCGAGCCTGCTCACATAAGCTCTATCTGTACAAATACAATTTAACAAAAATCCCGCACTTGGTTACAACTTTACAGGAACCACTGGCAAAAAATCATGTGGCGTTCAAAATCTCCTCTATGGCTTGATATTCTGCACATTTTCAAAATACATGTTGTAACTCAGAAAAGATAATTATGCGGTTTTCCCATTTGTCATAAATTTAAACCTCAGACACAGTCATTAGTTTTTATCTATCTAGTTTGAAAACAGAAGTTTTCCTTCGAAAATGTCCTATTTGGTCCACTCTGTAGACACCATAGGTTGAAGAAAACAATATTATTCGTAAGTGTTATTGTTCTGTAAAAAATAATTTATGTGGCATAACAACGTTTGCGTGTCAGCTAGTTACATAGAATATTCAGAATTCAACCCAAGAAGTTCAAACCATTTGATTACACTGCCTCACAAAAATAGTAAATAGCTATTGTATGTAATTTATAGACATTCTTCTATCAGGAAGCTATCGTATAGCCAAGCACAATGATGTGTATCACTTTAGACGACTCAACATGAAAATTCAGAATATGAGTTTGTCATTTCTCTATCATTTTGGCAACTGATGGTCATAACCTACTGAAAATTGATAATTACTGGATTTGAGATTCAGTTATTCAAAACCATGACCTTTTTTTTAAAGATAAAGCACAAGCACTACAGGAAACTCCTTATATCTCTCTGAGAATGGTGCCTGTGCGAAAATAGCGATTCACGTTGGATTTGAGTCGCTGTGGATTCAATTCATTTAGAAAAACGTTCTCAGGAAGTTTATTCCTAATAAACGCAGTTCTCATGATGAGAGAGTTCTTACACAGTGAAGTTCGAGGTGTACTGAGTTGAACTCCAAAACAATGAGCAACCACAGTCTGTCGCGTGTTGCTGATATGTATTATTATGAGACACGTACAATCTAAAATGATAAACAAAAACTATCCAATCTGGTTTACGTATAATACAAATAAACTGATAAAAAATAAATCTAAACTGCACAAAAAATGGAAAACATACAAAAACGAAGAAGATTACTTGAACTTTTCAATATTGCATTAATAATCTAGAAAGTGATATGGCGACGAATGTGAAAAAATTCTGGTCATATATTTCCAACAGAAAAATTAAACAAAGAATACCATTGAGTATGTCACTGAATGAACAAAAACTCGAAAACTCTCAGGATATCTGCAAAGGCTTTTCTGAATTTTTCTCCTCAGTTTACGAAAGTGATAATATTCCATCAAATATCACCCTAGATTTAAATTCGGCATATAGTACAATCTGCATTAACTCAATAAGTAAAGATAAAATACGGCAACAAATTCGAAAAATTGACATATCAAAAAGCTGTGGCCCCGACAATATCCCTCCTATTTTCATAAAATTTTGTGTGGAGTCACTAATCGAGCCATTGTACATAATTTTCAATAACTCACTGAAAACGGGAATATTTCCTTAAAATTGGAAATTAGCCAATATGGTTCCAGTATATAAAAGTGGAAACCAGAGTGTGAAAATTATAGAGGCATAACGCTTCTATGTATATTTGGGAAACTATTCGAGGTAATAATAACAGACGAACTTTATTTCATGACAAAAAATCGCCTAACAAGTTTTCAACACGGGTTTTATCGTCAGCGCTCTTGTGTGACTGGGCTCCTGCCGTTAGTACAAAGAACATTGGAATATATGGAGGACACCGTTCAGGTGGATGCCGTGTACACAGATTTTTGTAAGGCTTTTGACAAGGTCCACCACAGTACCTTGCTCATTAAGCTGGAGAACTTCGGTGTGCATGGCAGTCTGCTGAGGTGGATTTCATCCTACCTACGTAATAGGTATCAGATTGTGAAACTTTATGACAATATATCTGAAATTTATCGAGTAATTTCCGGTGTCCCACAAGGATCACACCTGGGACCGCTAATGTTCTCAATTTCCATTAATGACATTGGTTCGTGCTTTCAACATAGTCGTTATCTATTATACGATGATGATTTAAAAATTTATTCTCCGATAGAGCAAAAATAACAAGTACTTCTTCAACAAGACATCGATCGTTTATATTATTATCGTCAATCCAATAAGTTACATCTCAATCCTAGTAAAAGCTCTTCTATAACATTTTCTCGAAAAAGCGGAATCTTGATTACATTTACGAGATAGACGGTTCACTTCTGAAAAAAGTTCAACAAATAAAGGATCAAAGCATTATTTTCGATCCAAAATTGTCTTTTGAAAACCATATTGACAATGTAGTTGAAAAAGAACTAAGAAATCTTGGCTCCTTAGTCGGAAACTGTAAAGATTTTAAAAACCCCGAAACCTGTATACTCTTATTTAATTCCATTGTTCGCAGCCACCTTGAGTATGCAACAATAGTGTGGAATCCTTTTTATCAAAAATATATAAATAGAATAGAATAGGCTCAATAGAGGTTCATACGCTTCCTAAACTTCAAATTCATATTAAGTCAAAGTTTTCCTCCATATACTTCTAGCCTAAAAATATATAAAATTGACGAATCAGAAACCAGACGGAAAATTGCCTAAAACATTTTTCTTAGTAAATTGTTGAACAATAAAATCGATTCAGAATATTGTTTGGCAAATATATCGTTCAAGGCAAATGTTTATTCTATGCGCAATGGTGATTTATTCAAGTTTATTTATTCAAGTATATTTATTCTCAAACCTTTCTTCGATGTTCCAGACTGTCAAGGTTTCAAGTGATGTTCGTATTTTCAGGCAAGCGGATAGCTCTTTTCTGGATGGAATCCAGCACCTTCAGGGTGCGTCATACATGAAAACAATACTCCAATGAAGGTCTTATCTGAGTTAGTTCCGAGCCTGTGAACTTTTGCTCGGCAATAGGAGATAATTTTCATAAGACATTGGTGGGAGATTTTTCTGTAATCTGTAAATCCCAATTTAGATAATAAATGCCTTTCCCGAAGTGTACCAATTTTCAATTCATTTCTTGGTTTGCAAAGAAATTCATGTGGAAAACTGAAACTCTATATTTGATCATTTGTTGCAGGAATTTCATATCTGAAACAAATCTGGGATACTTGAGTTTGTGTCAAAACTTGGAAGAGCTTTCGGTAGAGGGAAATCCCGAAATAGGTTCTCGTTACAGAGAAAAAATACTTCTCCTTCTGCCCTACCTCAAAAAAATTGATGGAGAGTGTGAGTTCCAATCTAATGTTTTACAACTTCCTCTCTGGAAATATAAAACACTTTCCACGTGAGAGCTGACGAAGTACATTTCAAACGAATGTTTTTTTAGGTACAAGAAGGGCGTCTCATCCAGATAGTGATATCCATCATAATTTGGTGAGTATTCCTAATTCGTAATTCATGAACAGTGTAATTTGGATTCCGTTGAACTTTTATTACATTGTGGTGGAATTTGCACTGAATAGTTTACAAATCCCCAACACGTGGTATCGCTGTGAAATAACTTCCCAGAGTCAGTATGAGCTATTTCATAGCGAAACACGTGTTACGATCTGGTGAACTGTTCATTGAAAAGTTCACAATAAAATGTTACTTGAATACTTCATGGATTTTCACCATTTGAGAGTTTTGATTGAATTTGAATTTATTAATATTCATGGAACACAATAATCTTTACGTTATTCGAAAACATCACAAGATGTATCATAGCGAGTTGAGGACTAATTGAGTATTTCTTTTATATAGAAAGCATTGTATAGATTTTGCAATACGGACTGGTTCTTCGAAATTTTGTATGATTCATATTACTCAAAAAAATCAACGAAGGGACTTAGCAAAAATAATTTTTGGGTAATTCTTCTCATTTACGATATTTTAAGTTGAAGAAGATAACATCTATGTCCACTTTTTTTGTTCATAATCCCACCCGAATATGGTTCCACTGTATAGGAGAAATAAACAGGCAGGAGGTCACAAATAAAACCATTGCCATTTCCTCCGACATCCATCCGGCAATTAAGGCGCTCAGCCCATTTCAAGTCTTCTCAAGACTGGTGGGAAACTATCTGAGAGCAATCAAGGAGCTAAGTACCCAAAATAGGGTCACTCTAGCTTGGTTACCTGGACGTGAGGGTCACAAGGGCAATGAGGACGCCGATGTTCTAGCCCGTCAAGGCGCATCCAAGGCTCTGATTGGCCCAAAATCCTGCTGCGGGGTAGTGAAAGTATCTATAAAGACGTCCATAAACTCATGGATGCAAGCCGAATCGATTGGTGGACTAAGCTCCCAGGAATGAGGCATGCGAAAGAGTTCATGAAGAAACCATCGCCCAGATTCACAGAAGACCTGATAAACCACAACCGTGAGGTTGGTAGGGTAGTGGTGGGTCTACTAATGGGGCATAGCTGACTCAGTAAAACATATGAGCTACATGGGTCTGACAAAGGAAACCCAATGCACGTTCTGTCAAGAAGAGGCAGAAAACGCACTGCATGTGCTCTGTGAATGCGAAAAATGTATAAAAAAAAGAGTAGGTACCTTTCTTGCAAATGAAAAACTTTGTCAACTGAACAATATGGTTTCAGGGAAGGAATGTCAACAGAAGATGCAATTTTCAGTGTAACTCGAAATGTATATGATAGTCTGAATACCAACAAAAAAGTGATTGGAATATTTTTAGATATGAAGAAAGCTTTTGATACCGTATCTCACTCTAAACTCCTGGAGAAACTAACACGATACAGAATAAGAGGCGTTTGCCTTGAACTTTTTCGAAGTTACTTGAGAAACAGTTCGTAAAAATAAATGAATATGAGAGTTACCAACAAATAACAAAGTGTGGTGTTCCTCAAGGCACTGTTTCAGGACCTGTCCTTTTTTTATTCACATTAATGATTTACTAAATACAAATCTTGATGGTGATCTATATTCGCATGCAGATGACACTGTATATGTAGTGGATGGAGATAAATGGGATGAGACCATTTCGAAGGCTGAAGTTGGCATGTTAATTTTGAAACATAACTTGAGTTATGACTTGCTCACACTCAATATCACGAAAACTCAATTCATGACATTTTCATGTAGTGAAAAATATCAACCAACATTTGATGAAATGAAAATTCATAGTTCGAAATGTTTACCGAAACATTTTCAAAAATACAATTGCACAAATATATTAAACAGAATAAGATGGGCAACACTTGTTTGCCGAAAGCAGGAAACACCACATACGCACGGAGTCAACAACAGAAGCCAACCGCACATTTGTGGTTCCAGTTAGAAGACCTAGAATTCCTAGGCTACATCTAACATGACCACGTGGGCAGTTATAGCTACCTGCGTGACATCCGGGTCCAGGATATGAATACAGATAGAGATTTTATCGAGTGTGTATGATACAAATCAAGAATTAACAAAAAAATTAAGAAAATGTCTTTATCAGTTCAAACTTCTCAGAGATATATTCGAAGTAAAAACACTATTGATGTTTCATAATGCATTATTTTCCATCATAGCCTGGGGTAGTGCATATAAAAATTCGTTAAAATAGGTATGTCAAGTCTATTCATAAATATGCAATGAAAATAATTTTTAAAAAACCTTCCAGATTTACATCGAAAGTTTTATACAGAAAATATTCCATTTTAAATATCATACAAATATTTTACAAAATCAGTATCATCTATATAAAAAAACATTTTGCAAATACTGGCATAATAGAACATCAGTATGATACAAGATCAAAGACCAATGAATACATTTGATATTGTGTATTTGTTAATAAATTTGAATTTTAATTTGAAAATAAAAAATTTGAGTTTGGTAGCAAGGCTGAGACACGCAAGATGCGGGAAAGAAAAACCAGAAGCTGCCAGCTATATGAAGGGGTCAGTGTCAACGCTATGGAGTCTCATCAAAGAGATCAAGCTGGACAATGAGCTCTAACAACCAAGTAGCATCACAATAGATCTGAAAAGGTCGCAGTGAATCAGGCCATGGGATAGCTCCCCGACAATCTAATCTAATGGTTCCACTGATTGCGACGTTGACACATTTTGATATGAAATATAATTATGGTTCGCATGGAAAATCGCATACAGATTTGGATACATTGAGAAGCAGTTTCTTGCACCCCTCCATTTAGTTTTACAGATAATAGATTCAGTGTCATTTGAAGTTCCCCAAAAAAAAATCAGCGTATACAGCACATATGCTGTCTTTCCAAAAAATCAGGTGATTTTTAATTTTTCTCAAAAAATTCATCAATTTCTCTTTTGTCCCCTTCAGAGAAATGAAACACTGTATGCAGTACTTATAACAACTTTTTAGTATGTCCTTTCCATGGGTCTCCTCAATCTTGGGAACAGAAAAAGTCGCACAGGGCCGAATCTGGTGATTACGGTGGTTGAGGCATGATTATGGTGTTGTTTCTGGACAAAAAATTATGAACAGCAATGAGGAGTGAGCAGATGCATTATCTTCAACCGATATGCTGATATCCTCAACAACTTCTCCAATAGTGATTTGACGATTTTTCATAACAATTTTCTTCACTTTCTCAACATTTTCGTCGGTTGTTGATATGCTCGGGCATTCAGGGCAAGCATCGTCATTCAAATCTTCTTGACCTTCTGTGAAAAGCTTGTACCACTGGTACATTTTTTGATTAAAAATACAATTACCGTATATCACTACCAAAATTCTTAGTAGAAATTGGACAAAATTTAATTTATCTATTCTATATTTCTCAGTCATAGCGTTATATCGTCAACTAGTAGGTTACTGAAGTAGGCTGAACTGATATTATACGAGCCCATTTTTGTAAATGAGATGAATGCCACTCAAAGGAGTGCGTCTGAATCAATGATTATACAAGGTGCTTTGCATAATGATTATACAAGGTGGGCCATCGAAAACTTGACATGAAAGTTTTGGGTACTAATCTTGCAAATCCAAAAAAACGCCCAGACAGGTCGATTTTTATTGGGAGGAGGGCAGTTTTTTCCCCATTTACAGCGTCGTCACTTTAACCCCGGAGCAGAGGGGGTGAACAACCCTTAGAATTTGAATAGGAAACTGGGGGCGAGTCGTACATCGTTTGAAAAACCTTAGAATTCTCTGAACAACGGTGTACATTTTTCTAATTTGCACGAACCATATTAAAGTTAGAGTTGGAGTTACTTACTTTATTCTCATGTTAGCATATGCTCAAATTGGGCACCTCCAGCTTCCATGCAATAACAGAGATTCTGCTAGAAACGTTTTCGAACATTGTGGAGCATTTCTGGGGTGATTTGGCGACATTCATTTGTGATTCGTTGCCGTAAATCTTCGAGTGATGCAGGAGAAATACAGTGAATTATTCTTTTCAAATGACCCCACGGAAAGAAATCTAACTTCGAAAGGTCTGGTAATCGTGGTGGCCATTCGATAGTGCCCCGCCTCCCAATCCAGTGATCCGGAAAAGTCTGATCTGAAGACTGCCGAACAGAGCATAGTGCGGAGGAGCCCATCTTGTTGAATCATTAACAGATCCTCCCGATAATTATGGTTATTTTCAATAATTTCAGTGAGAAGGGGATTATTAGTATCTTCCAAAAGCTCTAGATACATTTGTCCGGTTGAATTCCCTTCTAAAAGCAATGGGCCAACAATACGGTCACCAAAAATTCCAGCCCATACATTTAATTTTTGTGGACGTTGATTATGCACTTCATGAAAAATGTGAAGATTTGAATCAGCCCAATATTGACAATTAGGGCGATTACCTGTGACATTCAGAAAAAAAGTACATTCATCACTGAAGCGAATGTTGAAAAGAAAATGTGGATTTTCCACCGCTCGTTCACTAACCAACTCGCAAAATTGCAAGCGTCGATCGAAATCATCTTTATACAGTTCTTGCGTTAATTTAATCTTGTAAGGATGCATTTTGTGGGTTTTTGAAATTCGCCGAATGCTAGTTCGTGACACCTCGGAAACAAATGCTAACTTTCTTGTGCTCAAAGTATAGTCAATCTCAACATGGCCCAGAATTGCCACTTGTGTCGCCTCATTTGTTTCTGGTGGTTCAATTTGCCGTTTTTTATTTGCTACAGATCCGGTTGCACGAAATTTTGCAATTATTTCGAAAACATACTGTCGCGACACATTCTTTCCATGTTGTTGATTGAACAGTTCAGTGGCTCTCGCAGACAACTATTTCCATAGTACAGTTGAATAAATTCAACCCTCTCTGCAGTTGTGTGAACCATTGTTTCTTTAGCAACACTTTACGGCACTCACTACTAGTAATAATGTAGATATCACTTTTAACATGAAAATGAGAAATAGAAACAGCATTTTTAACCATTCCTCAATTTTAATACTCCTCTTATCGAAGAAGAAATAAAATATTAACAGAAAAGTAGCGTAAGAAACAAATGAAAGAGTTCCAAATACATTCCAACTGAGTAGTGGCGTACAACAATTTGTTTCTATTGAATATTGAAAAAGTTAATCAAGAACTTTTTTAAATACGTCCAAATTTGTTTAGAGAATTCCAAGATCTTTCAAACGATGTGCAACTCGCCCCCAGTTACCTATTGAAATTCCAAGGGTTGTTCACCCCTCTGCTCCGGGGTTGAAGTGACGATGCTGTAAATGTCAAGTTTTCGATGTTCCACCCTGTATTTATGATATATTCTTACGTTCATTTTTCCTCTTTACAGGCGACGGAGCAAAACAGAAGTGGTTTCAGTATACAATTTCCACCTCGAGTTTTCTTTTGAATCTAATAAAAACGAAGATCACTATTATATTTTCAAAATAGGTCACAAAGAATAATTATGGAAGATCCATTTAAACTAGTCGATACAAGCTTCAATACTGTTTATTTCTAATACATACATTAATATACATGAATTTTTCAGTTACGTCATTATTGTTCAATAGAATTTTTAAGTACATCATTATCTCATGTTGAATATTCAAATTATATTTTTTTATATATTTATATCTACATCTGATGAGTGGATTAGTAGCTAGGATTCAACTCTTCTGGAATAATACAATTCCAGGTTACAATTGTTAAATAATCTAGAATTACTAATAAAAGTTTATACAAATATTATCTTCTTATTATATATTTATATCTATGTCTGACGAGAGGATCAGTGACTAGAATTCGACTCTTCTGGAATCATTTCAATTCCAGTTCAAAATTGTTGAAAAAATAGTAATACCAAATTAAAATTTTTACAACTAGTTAACATAGTTCAAATATTTTCCTAGATCTACACCTACACTATTCAACAATAAAGCAGTTCAACTACATTTATTCAACAGAAAAAACTTGTTTAATGTTCTACAATACAGAGTGTGACAGAAGAAAACCAATTAATGATTATTTCAGTGTGCTGAGTTGAAATGTATTCGAAAGTTTCGCAAAGAACAGTTCTCATTTAATATCATGGTAATAACTTTTTCAACAGAAATTTTATGTTTTCTGGTAGACAACAAAATTTAGAGCTTGTCACATAATGATCAAGTTCTCAGTTGCAGAAAATAAATCAATAAAGGGGGTTATACCTCATGAATCAGTTCTATAATGAAAAACTATTTTTTTTGTCATACAATCCAAAAAATATATTCTATATCATACGTTTTCTATTGTTACACTCTCTGTTTATTCTAACTTACTCCTAGCTACTTAGTTGTTATTTGTCTTTGGTAATTCTAGCTGTGTATGAAAATACACGAAAAAATAATGTATCTTTCATAATATACATGTAAATATAAATAGATATGTTGGAAATAAAGAGCTTTATCTTACCTTATTTATATTGCCTTATTTCTAAAACACTTTCTGCTTCATGCGTTCCATGATATATCTGTTATACATAATTCCAATATACTATTCTTATTGCTAATTATTAGACGTTCAATGTTGCTCGAGATAATATACATGGATTGTTACTCATATACTTGAAGATTATTTGGAATTGTTTCAGGATATAAAAGTTTTCAGCTTGAATGAAACCTCTTTGATTTGATTAGATGTACGTTTCTTCACTTGAAGTGAGTTATAATTAATTTTCTGCTCCATTGAGAAACATGATTTCTCAAATTTCGAAATAATAGTGATCATATTTTTCTCTAACCCGTGAAATATGTTATAATCACAATATTTTGTTAAACCAGCTTAAAAAAATGGAAAAATTATAGTTCAATATCGAAGTTCACCACCACACATTAAATGATGAGATGAAAGAATATCAACCTAGTTTTTTCATGATTTAAGACTAAATGAACACTGCAGGCTGGTCATAGTTCCTTAAACAGCCAATTCGTTTACATGAAACATACATGAATTTGAAGCTCATAATATCAACGAGGTCAAAACACTTACAACTAACCAATCACAACTGACAACCTAGTGTTTCATCATATTCCTAAGTTCTAGTTGACAACTTCAGTTCATGAGTAAGTTTTTGGAAAAATATACTTTTGAATTTAGTCGCTATCTGAACTAGATTCTTCTGCTACCTTGGCTGGAATATCCACGGCTGCGGGAGCTGGTGCAGGTGTTGGTTTAGAAACGTAGGTGGCAGCAGCGTACGGATTCGGAGACTCTCCTTCTGTGTGTTCTATGCCAACCCTGGAAATGATAGATGGTTCATCAATTAACAGTTTAAGGTCTCGAGGAGCCTCAAATGTAATATTTTTGGAAAGACAAATCTCATATCTATACCCTCGGCCATGTTTGTCAGGTATGCAACTTTCAAAAAACATATTTATTCTTATTACCTTCGATGAATTACTAGAATATGTTAATAGGTGTTACCAGTAAATAACGGAACTGGTTTTCTGTGAGACAAATAGTATCAACCTCAAAGTCAATCGCCCTATTACCGATTTGCCTGATAACCGCCTACACAATCCAGCCTGTTGGACGACACTAGCTTGCTCATCTGCTCATTCTCAGTTAGGCAACAACCCTTGTTTCTATAAGAGCATGTATCGGAAATATGGTGCACGTTTCTATTGAGCAACATGTCAACGTGAAACTTGGCAAATCTGCAACACAGGCCAATTCTCTCCTACAAGTGAATGTGCATGGATGCCCAAATGTACACGGTTTTTCGAGTAGTGCAAACATTGCAAAATATGACCGAAAGACATATAAGATTACTCAAGCCCAGAATATCCTTCAACTGCAAATACAGATGAAAAATCAATAAAAATATACAGGGTGTAACTGAATAAGTGTGAAACATTGAAGGAGTTGATTCCTCATCAAAAAAAAGATAAGATCTTTCATATATAGAAACTTCATTGGAGCATCCCTTGTTAAGATACAGCCCCTTAAAGGGGGTACATAAAATTTGTATGACAATTTTTTTCACGAGCACTTATATTAACTTTCAATTCAGAAAAAGTTATTAATTAACAAACATGTTCTTCCTTACGAATCAGTAGATAGTTGTAGTGTGTTGTTCATGACGAATAATTTCAAGAACGAAGTTTTAATGATGAACGGGAACGGGAATGTTTCCCACTTATTCATCAAACTCAAACACCTGTTCATGCAGCTGCAGTTTCATAAGAAGGTATCTTTCCCTCCAACCGATTTCCTGGAGTCTTTGAAGTCCACTAGATATTAGTTAGGACAAGGGTATTGTTCCGAATTCTTGGGGTTCTTGTTGAATACTCTTCGTGAGAAAAACAATAGCAAAATCAATACTCCTGACCGCTCTGGACTGAATGATTTCGTACAGCCCATCTCGTCTTGTGTTTGTAAATCTTTGGCTGGAAAAATCCGCACTTGTTTACTTTGTGGTAAATGTTCAAGAAGTACCGAAAACTTATGTGAATTTCTGAAACTTCATCTAGCTTTTCCCAATATGACTAATAACCAGTCCGTGCAAAGCTTATTGTTAAATCATCTGAAAATGGAATTTTCAACAGGTGATGATCAACTGTATTGTCAAACATGCGCCAAACTAAGTGACTGTCATAAGGAAACAAGAATAGCTGAGGCACCAGTCAATCTAATAATAACACTGATGATTTTCAAACAAGACTCAACCTCTAACGGATGCAAGAAACTCTTTGGAAGGTTCGAAATAGATGAACATTTCAACCTAGCAGACCACTATTATAATATTCATGCAGTCATTGTTCACTGTGGTTCTGGCGTTGAATTTGGTCATCATTACGCCTTGTTCAAAGAAGAAACGGACTGGTTTAAGTTTGACGATAGTCGTGTCACGAAGTGTTCTGGCGATGCATTGAATTTATTGGAGCCTCTGGAGACACCCTACATTTTGTTTTATAAAAGAGAGGACATTGTTCGCTCAAGATCTTCAGATGATGTGGTGCTGCAGGTTTTTCCGGGTTTTCCTGCAGCCGAAAAAGGAAATGCGCCACTGGAATCAATGAAGTCGCCCCGGAGCGCCAATTAATTTTTATTGTTGTTTTTATTTTATTTTTATCGTAGTTTTAATAAACATAATTTTTGTCGTTGCAATAAATAGCTAAATATAATTGTCCTTGCCATACCTTATCAATAAAATCAATTATAATCATGATTATTATTATTTACCGACCTGTATTCGTGCCTGGCCAGATATCTAACATATTTCTCTGGGGGTTCATCACTATCCGTGTTTTGCAAACTAACACTCCTGCATGTGGTGTGGCTCACTTGTGTCGCTGGCATAGTGAATTCCACGTAACAATAGTCTGCAAGCTTCTCCGGCATTTGATCATAGTTCGTTAGTGCTATCCTGCATACCATGTTATGAGTAGTGTAAGCACCTAGAAATGAAGAATATGATAAATCATTATGTTCCGTTCACAAAGATCGCTTCTTTTTCTCAAGACAAAACACAAGCACTACAGAAGAATCCTTAAGACGCTCTAAGATCGGTGTCTGTGCGAAAGTACCGATTCACGTTGGGTGGAGATTAAATTCATTTGGAAAAACTGGTCTAGCCCGAGAACATCATTGAATGGCGTATTTTTTGGTAAGAATATCGACTGAATCACCAAAATATTCATGATTGTTGTACAACCGTGGTGATTTCCACATTCCATCAAATCTTGAAAATTCTAGTTGTGTTTATAAGCAATGATGTTTGGTGTATTTTAAGAAACTTGAGCTTTCCCTATTGCTTTCTGTGAAGTAAAGTGAACTATCTGTGAGTGCACATCTTGGTTGGGCTTTATCCCTGACTCACCTTACCAAAAAGATCATCTTGAACACTTCCACATTGAATGTTTCCAGAGAGTGGATAAAAATAATTCAGGAAATTCAATACATAGGGTGTGGAGATAAACGTGAACATCGGTAATATTGACAACTCATGGTGAAAATCATTCAATAACTCACCTTGCCCTTCTTTGGGTAACCTGGGGCATCTCCAAACTATAGCCCTGTGTTGATGCTCATATTTCGCTTGTCCCGATGTAACTTCTATCAAATTTTCTTGTAGCGTTTCAACTGTTCCCAATATCCTTTCAATTCCTTTGATTTTTCCCGTTCTGGAATAAAAAAAGGATTCTTTTCTCATCACGTTTGCCACATTTTAACTATATTCGTCTGTTCACTATTTGGAGTTGACTCCTCAGTCTCCTTTACTCAATAGTTAATTGATAAACCGACCCAAATTAAGTTTTTTTTTGTAAAAACCATCACTCTCAAGTCGTTAAAATATTCGTTAACAAAATGTAGAACTGCAATTTCAGACGCGAAATGACTCCAAAACAAACAGTGCTCCCAAACACCGATGATCGTTTCGTCAACCAAGTTGGCGTCATCAGGAAACAGCGAGACTAATTCGTAACTCTAAACTTGCCTATTTATATCTAACAGGGTAAACTTTCAGTTCCAATTTCAGTCACACATCAACAATTTTTTAGGAACGATTTGACGGATAACTCATAATAGTGTTAGGAATCACACGTTAAAAGGTAAGACCGTTAGCCCTTAGCTCGCACAAGTTCTCAACTTTTTAGTGTGGTCATTCGTATGGGGGCGACAGCTGATTTGCTGATTGAACATCAGTGGGAACATTTGCTGACGACTTGTAAGCAAAACATTATTCATTCGTGTCTGAAAGTGAGACTGTTAATTTCTTTGACATATTTTGTTTTTGATGATTCCTTGGAAATGTTGAATGTTTTGTCGTAATCATATGAAATGTATCGTTTTTGAAATAGATGATTGGGAGTCAGTTCTATTTTCAATAAATAACAATATAAATACGTACCTCCTGTGCGCAGATTTAACTGACCCATATCGAAAGTGTTTCTCTACTCTAAAAAGGTATATCCAGCATTCTGGAATCGGAAAACGGATCATCACATCTTCGCAAGGAATCTGGCCTAGTTTTCTGGAAGCGAATCCTGGAACGAGGACGTCAGCTCTAAGTTCTACCTGCAAATCATCAAACGTCAACCAATAATAATATTGATGAAAATTTTTATAATTATTATAATGATAATAATATTTATTGAACGAACAAGGTACAATTATTTACATGTAGCAAGTAAAAAATGATTAAAACTACAGAAATAAATGAATGAATACAATATATAGATGTTATATTATGTATTGTTAATATTTCTGATATGTAAAGACACCAAAAATAACAAAAATATTATTCAAGAACATTAGGTCCAAGAAAACACTGGATATTCAATCTGAGATATCATTTCCAAGTTAGGTATCACCTGTAGAGTAGTTGCCCCCCTAAATGAAGCCTCATACTTAGGTTGGCGTATCCGTGCCGAAAAGACATATGACTCTGAGCCCATCCAGTGTCATCAACGAATCCTTCATGAGACTGGATATCTTCTTGCTATAGAAATTTATCCTGGACTATGAAGATACCAACAAATCTGAACCTGAATCTAGAGAGAAGGAGGACGTCGACTCAAACACCAAACTGTTCTCCCTATTACAAAGGATCTATATGAAGGGCCCCTCAGTTCTCCAACTTTTCCGCTCACTTTATCCAGAGATATATATTGACCAAACGAATCAATCTGTCCTTTCTGTAACATCGGTTCAAAAGCAGGAATTTCTCTGTTGTTCAACTCACCAAGAAACCTAGGCTAGAAGGTGCGAATAGGAAAGTCTCTTCAAGAGCAGAATGTCCAATGAATCTTTTTACCAAATGATGTCCCCTTGAGCAGGTCCTGCACACGCTCATGCTCAAGAATGATTACCCAAACCATAGGCAAAAAAATCCTGATAGCTGATTCGAGTGTATCATCAGAAATAGCTCATGTAAAACTATCCCATATGGAAAAGTTGCAAGGTAGAAATATTGCACCTTGGACATCGCGACAACCTCAATATTAAATAATCGGATGCATATTCCGGCCTGTGTGACTGAAGGCTACCTGTGAGGATCAGTAAAGCATTTCTTCTCTGGTGAGTGGAGTTAGTACCTTGCAGTCATGGGAGAGCGTCTTACTGAAATGCTTCACAGAAGAACTGCTTTCCAAGCCAAACGATGGTGTTGCTTATCCAACTGTCGAAAGTAGTCCCAGACTGACTGTGGATCAATTTGGACGAGTTTGAATGAGTATACGCCTCAATAAACCCTCATGGGTTTCGGTGAAAGGTTGAATAAACCCACTGACGTTCCTCTTTGATGAACCTTCTCACCAGTTTACTACCCTGAGTAAAATAGTTCAGTTTGCTTTTTTTATTTGAAATGGAATACTTTGCATGTTTCTTGTGGTAATAAATTTTTTCAAGGTATTAAATGAGGTTACGGTATAAATTTTATCATTGGAAAACTGAAATAGAATTGGTAACAATTTCAAATCGAATGTATACGTACTTTATACCCTGTAACACATATTTGAGCTTTGAGCTGTAAAGGAAGTTCTCGATTTTTCGGAGGTCTCACTCTGAATCTCAAGAGTTCAATGTAACAAGCATCGGGAGGTTTGAACCTGGAAAAAAAGTTTCTATTGAATGTTGATCTTGTGATCATCTGAATGATATTCAGTATATATCTAAATTCCCGCCAAAATTATTTATAAGCCCTAAGTTTTGCAATGTAAACCTATAACGAATATCTTGAACATGAGGTACAATTTCCAAACCGACCGTGTTACTTATACGGTAATATCAGTTTCGAAGTAGAAAAGCTGTACAGCAGAGTTCACCCGAAAGACGCATTTCGAAACTTCCAGAAGAAGATGAACAAAATGGATGATTCTGAAACAAGAAATTAAAGTCTGGTTGGAATAACTAATTTGTCGCCTTTCTGCAATACATCCAAACCGTTAAATGTTTCACCGTTAAATATTGCCTTTTCTAGACGTAAAAGTGGGAAACGTAGCCACAGAAAACCGACCTGAATAGGCAATGCCTGAATGGCGAACTGTGGGAATTGTAAAAACCTTAACCTTAGTGCTGCTTCTTTTTTCAACGAGAAGGGTGTGAGAAAGTGAATAAAGAAGATTATATCTAACTATAACTTTGAAATACGTCACAGATTTGGACATACGATCTGTAAAAGGCTCAAAAAGTCGAAGCCATCAAATACTAACAACCATGTCGTACAAGGAGAGCGCGTCGAAGTTCACTGAACCTAACCTCATATCTCTAACCTTTTTGAGTCCTTAATAAATAATCCTATTGACGGTTGCAGAAAGGACGGTAAATATTCGGTCAGCTCATGAATGGTGAACCTATTGCATCCACGATAGGCTGTAATATCTGGCAAAGGCAAGAGAGAAACTTATTTGATTCAGAATTGAGGAAACGCCGGTTCTGTGTCAAATACAATGTAACATCATAGCAAGACCGAGATAGTGTTTATATAAACAAAATTCATCGGCGAGTTTTGGAAATATGCACAGTCATATATATTTGTCACGTAGCTGAAAACCGCTCAGGATGTAGATAAGGGCATATCAATATCTCAGCTCATGAGTTTTGTCAATTCAACGAAATAGGTTTTCTAGTGACCTCCGTCGCCCGTGGACGACTGTTACGAAGAACGGGTTGATAAATGGGGGAGAAGACAGATGGTTCGGAGGAGTCTTGCGAAAGCCACGAAGAGAGTCGGACACGATGGCCCGTTGAGGCGGGTTTGGGGATGTCATCCCTCCGCTTTCGAAGCTGAGGCTAGTGGCCTGAATAGGAGAGTTATTTTGTTTTCAAGCGCGGTGTGCAAAATTTACAAAAAAAGCTGTAGAGAAATTGTAAGCCGATATTGAGTACAGGGAAGTTAAAAATAAAAGTGTTGGTGTTGAAGACACACCGGATTAACAAAACCTATAGTTGACCATGAACCACCAAAGAGGCGTTGTGTGTTTTTTTAAACAGTGCATTTCTTTAATCCCCCCCCACTTTCATTTTTTGAACGGGTCAACTCAAAAAATTAAAATTTGCGGTAATGAAATAAAGGCATGAATACTTTATTTTGAAGTGCAATTGACAGAAAAAACTTTCAAAGATGGCGACTGGGTGCCATGTGGAAAAAAAATTAAATGGAAAGGGAGGTCTTGTGATAAATATTTTTGAAGCTCCTGACAAGTGCTTCACAATCCTAGAATATAATGTTGATATCTCCAACTACTACAAAATGGCGGAACTTTTAATTTCAACAAGCCCCTATAAACTCACTTAATTATATGCGTGTCATTGTAATCATCCTGTTGCACGCAAGAATGAAACTCAACTTCCTCCAGTCTTATCCACTCTTCTGTAACCACAGGAATGATGTCGTGTCGACCAACCACTTCTTTTCCTTGCCGACGCATGTCGTTGATCCCCAATTCGACATCGGGCATTCCCGTGAGAAAGCCCAGAAAGAACAATCGTACCCTGGCAATCTGTTTCTCAATGTGACCTGGAAAATATTCAAATGTTCAATGTTTTTCATGCAGCTCAGAGTGTCCACTCTACACAGGGTGTCCAGAATTCATTCAATTCTAGTTTTTCAAACTAGAAGAATGAAACGGTAAATAGGCCAGCATGTGCGCATATTATTTTTATTATCTAAAATAAATTTCCTGAGAAATATCTTCAGCAAGGAAGATGAATCAACTTACATCGGCCTGCAATGGGAAACAACGCGATCTTGTGTGTAATCTGATGGAGAAAAGTTTAAAAATATTGGCAGAATTTGTGAAATGGTCTGTATTTCATTCAAATTTTTTGAGTAGTCGGTTGAAAATAACTGTTCAGATTATTTCAATCCAAAACACTACCTTTTTGTATTCACAATGACAGACAGATTGAAGTAAAGCACACACTTGTTGATAACAAAATAAATGCAGTTCTTCGGAAACTGTAATGACGTCTTTCTATCCCGCATTTGTTCCATTTTTCTGCCTTCACAAATGAAAAATATATCACTCGTTAACAAAATTATGGGATAACCTGGAAATATTGTCGAAAAAAAATGTAAAATTGTTTGTGAGCTTTTTGAAAGTCTTGCATAATGCAAAGTATAACCTAGAAGATTCATCTTACCTTCTGCATCCTGCTCCACGTGGAGCTCATCAACAGCCGTTATCTGAACTTCCTCCATCTTGTAATGCAACGCTCTGTCCCTGTGAGCTTGAAGCTTGAAGAGGGCTTCCTCAATACAAAACGAGAACTGTTTCAGGTCCTCGTAATTCAGTGAACCAAGCTTCATCAGCTGAGATACCTGGGGAGCGTGTTCTACGGGAAGACCAAGCTTCTTCAAGTCACTTCCGAACTCCTTCACACCTGAAAATACATGATAAGTTCTCAAATATTCAGACGAGTTTGACTGACGAGTTTGAACCGACGAAGAGGTGCCATTCTTAGAGATCTTATTCACCAGGATTTTATAATTTGATGGGTACATAAAAAGTACCAGAAATTTCAGATATATTCTTTCCAGATACTATATTGTTATTGAAATAATTATGTAATGTAGGTTTAGGAAATATTATGAACATTAAATTACATGAAATGACTTTCCCCTATCCAGTTTGTACTCTTAAAAGTCGTTTGGAATTATAATAGATAGAAATTATACTGATGCTACACAAAATATTATACAAATATGCAGAAGGATACTGGTATGAAATTCAACTTATATGGAACACCATCATCTTAAGTAGCACGTTTATAGAAGTTCCAGAAGAATCATGTATGAAGTACTCATAATTTTTTTCTACTGAATAACATTTAACAATACCAATCACTGATTTTCGAATTATTTTGTTAATGAAGTTCTTCTACGGATATTTGAAATATACATCGAAAACAATTTGGATTCAGGCAAACAAGATCGAAGAAATCAACAGTAGAATTTATTTACTTGAATGAATCTAATAACAGACAATCTGATTGTATTGAGCCACGTAGAATCTCTTACGTCTCACCATGAATTTTTCAATATCAATTCAATCCGATGAATTCCACTGATAATTTCATTTATCTTGTTTGCTTTAATCCACATCTGATGCCCCGCGTTGGGCGCCAGATGGAAAAGATGGAAGTTTAGACAAACGAAGTTGGGATAAATAACAATTGAATTCGTTGATATGAAGAAAAAATCAATCGAATTCTTTCATCTAATTTCTCTGCAGCGAAACTTCTCCTGGTTGTATTGAGCCACGCAAAATATTTCAGATTTCAACCTGTCTATGGAAGCTGCTGACTGTCTTACAGAAGAGAGCGGTGTTTCAATGGACAAACGATTGTCTCTTTCAGAAACCTACCTTGATAATCTCCTTGAATAGCGTACGCAGCAAACTGGCTCAACTTATTCGTTATCCTCTCCGCTTTCTTCACCTGACCAGGTCTCACTCCTGGTCTTTCTTTGTAGAAAATGTACTGCAACTTGACGGTGAAGATTTTTCCAAACTGGTCGTACTGCTGAGCACCTTAAAGCACCATAATATCATAAGTGTGCATTATTTTCATGCATCAAAAACAAGTCATGTGGGTTAAAACCATTTTGGAACTGATGGAAAGTTTCTTCATAGTATTTCAAATGAATAGGACATATTTGTTCATAAAAATGGAAGATATAGAGAAGCCTGAATGTAGAATAGCCAAATGGGAAGAAAAACTCTTACAAAACATCAATAAATAGAAATGTAGAAATGTTAGATAGATTTCTTGATGTACAATCAGACTTCTCTGTATCACAAGTTATGTATTCGCAAGTGCAGTGTAGAAAAGTTTATAGAAAATGAAGATGAAATATTTTAAAACTATATCACAATCGAATGAGAAGGAGAAGAGCTGACAGTTGTTCGGAAAATCAAACTTTTCCTGATATGGATGATCACAACAAATGAAAGATAACTAGTGAGTGAAAATGAAACAGAGAACAATCAAAATAGCAAATTAGGCTGAAGCAGAATTATTATCCGATGAATTCAAAAAAGTGTATGGAACTCGTTTTGTACGGTTTACAAAGAAGTATGAAACGAAATTTTTCGAAAACATAAATGGAGAAGTGATTCTAGTATATCCACAAAGAAAATCAAAGATACTCAAGCCATCGACCTCATTATTGAATATTCAATGTTATAGACTACACTTTCAATCAATAAGAATCTGGATATTTGACAGTTCACCAAATTAATTCTTTAATATTTCATTCTTGAAAAAAGTTTTCAATATTCCGCATATACCAGTTACAGAAACTAACATGATATCATTGACACGAATTATCTCGATACTTTCAAAATACCCAAAAGCAAGACAAACAAACCTTGATCATTTTTCATAGCAGAAAACATCCAAAGTTTTGATTTTAATGGATTATATCACCAATATACATCCCTTCGTCCTCAGTCTACCATTTCAGTAGAGTTTCTATAAGATATAACGGAAAAAGTTCAGTTCATTCTGTTGTTATGAATACTTTTAGTAAAATTCCAAAAAAATATTGCAAAATATTTCAATCTTGTGAATTCTAGCAATATATAGGATACTGTTTTCGCTGATCTTCTGTAACATTGCTTGTAGAATCGACGGCAAACATAATGATATCAAATCGGCATGGAGAATGGAAATCTCCAACTGTAGCCGAAGGCTTGATTGAAGAACCAATTTCTAAAATTACCTGGGATAAAAGGTCAAATTCTGGAAGTGCAATTGGTTCCATTTGGGTACTTGGGTACCTTTCTTGGAAACTTGACCACAATTTTGAGTGGAGAACACACAAGCAGAAATGAAAACAAAATTCTAAAAATTACTGAAAATGAAGTTTGTCCATCAATAACTATAGCAAATTGCACCCATTGCGATAATAAAATCAATATCACTTCTAAAAAGTAAATGACTAGTTTTGTAAAAATGTTATATGTTATCGTTCTCAATCGGATACTTCGGAGAACTCTCCCAAATATTTTCTTATGAAATTTGAAATGACGAAGCAATTCTCTTGACTCGACTGTAGAAGACTGTACTGTATCTTTTGCACCAACATATGCAAAAAACATCTTTGTTGCACTCAGCATGATTGCAGCTGTTGAGTCCGTCCCGAGCTGCAAACATCAATAATCATGCAATAAAGTACAGGCTCCACAGGGTGGGGCCAAGGACCGATCTCTGTGGAACCCCCTGCGTCATTTCCTACCTGTGCCCTCCACTTTTCAGGCTGCGGGGTGACAGGTATGCCTGGATTGAATTTATGAGGTATCTGCTAATATTGAGGCGTCTAGTTCTAGTTCTCTCTATAATTTTTCCCCACTTCGCAGTGTTGAAGGCGTTCTTTATGTCCACCGCGACAATAGCTTCCCTTTTTTTTCGCTGAATCTTATTTTGTTCAGTGCCTGTTTCGCGGCGGAGACCGTGGATTTTCCTGACTTGAAACCGAACTGGCTTGAGCAAATAACCGTAGCCTTGTTCAGCTCGGTTTCTAATCTCGCCTTGATGAGATGTTCTTATATTTTTCCTAACCAAAGTTTCTGTGAGTATATATGTAAAACCAACAAGCAATAAAAATGCTTTCGACATACCTATATCAGAAACAGAGTAACAGGGCTGGAGTGGCAATTCCTGGAAAGGATCCTTATCATCTTTCTGATTGTACAATTGAAGCAACACACAATCCGTTTGGTGCAGGATTTTGACAAATATCTTCTTCCAGAAGCGCTGTCCCGTAATTTTTTTCTTGTTGGGTTGTCGAAGCTGCATTTCCCATCCATCCCCAGTGAAGTTTATCCTTGGAAAAGGTTCCAGAGGTTGCGAAACGTCATCGTCAAACAGTGGCGTCGGAGGGGTTTCTTGTGAATCACTCCGCTTGAGGTCACCAGCTGAAAAATTATCATCTGAAATATATATATTTCTGAAGAAGCAACTATTGAATGATTTGTCAATTACCAATTCTGTATAGTTTGATATTACATTTGTTCTCATTGAAATTTTTCATTTATAGTTCTCCTGACAGTTTTCTATACAGTACATTTCTTTAATGTTGGATATGAATACTGATAATGAAACATCGTTGAATGTCACATTTCAACTCACCATAAGGAATGTCATTTTGGATAACTTCTGTTGAAACATCATTCTGATTGTCGAATGGATTGAAGCGGGGGGAAGTATCTATGAAAGCTGCTGTGGTAGGAGCAGGAGGAGGTGCTATGGTCGGTAGAATACCACCACCCTGTTCTTCACTGCCTTTCGGTCTGGAAATCAACATTATAACAATCAGAGTAGATTGAAACTGCTTTATAGAAAACTTGCTATAAATGAAATTCTCTCTTGGTGATAGTCAATCAGATCCAAATAATTACTCAAAATACATCTACAAATAACAACTTATTCTTATCAGAAATGACATATTTCCCTATTTTTGAAAACTCGTTAACTTGATGTGCTCACCTAATAAATACGGAGAAATCCTTATCCTCATCCGACTCCTGGGACGGAGCCTTGCTAATCCTGTTTGGAGTACTTTGCGGAACAGAAGGAGGTTCCTGGAGAGCCAAAAATGCATCAAACCCATCGTCCTGACCAAATCCAGAAGAAACTTCGGTTGTATTCGTAAATGAATTACCCCAAACGTCGCTTTTCTGATCATCAGTTTTCACTGAGTCGAACTTTTTTGCAAAATCATCGAAATCATCTCCAACCGCTCCAAAAGCATCCATAGTATTGGATTCTCTAGTACTGGTAACACCAAAAGCATCTACAACGGTACTTTCAGTACTCACAAAAGCATCTGCTGAAGATTCCATAGTATTATCAGTTATTTCGAAAGCGTTACTGGGTTCTGCAACAGACCCAAAAGGCCCGAAATTATCCAAAGACGGTTTCACTTCCTCCTTAGTAGATATTCCGAAGACATCGCCAGATTCAACAGTAGTATCCGTGGTTCCAAACGAAGCCAACGATGCAGGCACGGGTGTAGTGTCTAACATTGCTAAATCATCTGCAGACATTTTGGTTTCAGCAGCTTCACTAGATGATCGAAATCCGTCTTCGAGAGTAGAGTTGGTTTCCTGAACAGAAAATCCAAAAGTTTCTTCGGTGCCGCTCATTGTATCGAGAATCTGGGTGGTGTTGTCGAATATGTTCATCGTCTTCTGAACGTTATTCTGATTTATTTCGCTTTTGAAATTATCCTCTATAAAAACTGGCTGAGGTGTATTAGCTTGAGACATATCCTCGGTAGGAGCAAATGGATTGAAAGTGACACTGGAAACAGAACCCTTACTGTGACTGTCACTCAAATCCATCCTGAGATCTTCTTGCGACGGCTCTGAAGAAATCAAATTATCTTTCGTCAGCTCATTGGTTTGACTCAAAGGAGAAGCGACATTAGAAACTTCCTGAATGTTTTTCGGTATTGCTGGAGTTGTCATATCGCTATGTGTCTGCATGATGATGTCTGGTTCCATTAAATCGAACAGCAAGTCAGTTTTTGCGGGTTCTTGTTTGGGAACGTTATACAGATTCAAAATGTCAGCGTTGGTCACCTCCTTCTTCTGTGGTGGAGTTTCCATCCCAAAAAAGTCTATCTCTTCAACGGTTTCATGTTTGGGTTCATCAGGCTTTTGTACTGGTACACTTTGTGGTGCGTCTTTCGGAGTGTTTTTGAACATTGCTGGTAGAGGAGGTTTTGGTGGCCTAACTGGGGGACTTGGCCTTGGTGGTTTCGCCTGTACGATCGTTTCTTGACCTACTGAAGGATTCTGATTGATATCACAGTTATCTTGTCCCAGAGAAAACAAGTCTGAAGTAACCGAGTAGACAGGTTCTGGAACCTTATCAGTCACGTCAAGCAGATCACCAAAACTGGGCTCAGGCGTTGGGCTTGGAGAGTGCAGATCCCTCATAGAAACTGGACTAGGGCTTCGGGTGGGGGGTATCTTATTCAACAAGCTAGAGCTAGTGGCATCCATCGCCCCCATAACCGACATCAAAAGGTCTTGAGTTTCTTTAGACGGTGGAGGTCGAGGAGGTGGAGGTCTTGGAGGTCCGTTGGTAACTGGCTGATGGGAATACTTCAGATCCAGCTCCGATGGTTTCTGCGGTTGTGAAAAATCAGCTTTGGTGAAAACTTCCCTGATTATGGGTTGCGTGGTGATTGGTTCGCTGAATGGCACTGTGCTACTAGGTTCAATATCTCCAAATGGGTCGGTATTATTAGTATTTTGTATCGTTGGCACTTCAGCCTCAGCAGGTTCGAGATCCATAGGATCAAAACTGAAAGGGTTGGTGGAAATCGTAGTCGCTGTCTGAGACATAAACGGATTGTCATTGAATCCAACATGATCGAGACCGGGATCATCATCCATGAGGAAAGGATTCGATCCGGCTGATCCCGGGGAAGCAAATGGCTCTTCATTGAAGAGAAATGGATTTGCTGCCATCTTATATAAGCTCTGATTCAAGTAGCTTCAGTTCAGCCTTACCAGGTTGTATATTATTAGCACAACTAGTGTCGAAGGGATCAAAATCTTCAGGCACCGCAGATTTGCTTTGTTCAGAAGGATTTAGTGGTTTCCTAATTATTATATCTTCGCCTTGGATCAATATATCGTCGATTTTTATATCGGAAGCGATATCTGGAGGCGAGAAGATGAGTTCGTTTTCTAGTATCTTCAGTTCGGTCTTACCCGGTAGGATGTTACAAGCTATCGAAGTGTCGAACGGATCGCAGTAGCTGAATTCCTCAGGATTATACTTCACGTCACCCGGAGTGAGGACTTTAATGGAGATGTCGTTATCAATCGCTAGTAGATCGATGGATTCTGAGAGTGAACTCAACTTAGGCTTAGAGATCTCTTTGATGCTGTTTACAATTCGATCTATCTTCGCCTGGGTTTCGTCTCTTGGATCGAAGTTTTTATCAACCAGGCTCAAATTCCTCTCAACTTCTGGATCAAACAGTTCACTTTCGATGAGTTTCAACTCTGCCTTACCAGGGGCTACGTTGGTTGCGAATGAGGTGTCGAAAGGATCTTCAGAGATCGGTAACTCTGGTACAGAGTTCTTCCTTGAGTAGAAGGGTGTCAAAGGTTTGGCTATTTTGTTTTTGTCGATATCTAGTGCGGTTTGATTTGGAGATGTCAGATCAAACGACACAGTTTTAACTCCGGAGATATTCAAAATGTCTGGTCGTGAGGTGGTTCGTTCTCTTCTCTTTTCTTCGGCTCTTGGATCGAATTCGTCATCGCTCAAAACGTCTTCATCAGATTTTTTGGTTTGGAAGGGGTCAGAGTTGGTTCCGCTGGATTTTTGTTGAATTTGAAAACCGCAAGTGGATAAGTCAACGTTGCTGCCTCCAAGAAGATCCCTGTCTTCTGGTTTGATCAAATTCAGATCACTTTCTGGAAAAGAACTGGAATTGAATAGATTTATCGGCAGTTGCTTGAAAATAATTGATAATGAAATTCCAAGTTCTGAATTAGATAAAAACTAAATATATACATTGATTTTGAGCAACTTCTCGATTATAGTTATTATCATCACATCATCTCTGCTGTATTTCAACAATTGTTTGGTAACATCTTAGGATGATGGCTCATAATAAGACCCATCTCAATATTTGACGAGAGAGCGAACTGTTTTGCTTCAGTGTTTGTTTGGCGAAACCTAAAGCGATGTCAACGACCGGTTCTGGTTCAATTAAACTGACTGCAGTACACTCCCTTGCAGCTTCATTACTTTCCAGTCCATTGTGGAGAATATTTTTGGCATAGTAATATTTGTTGCAGAATGATCAGATCTATTCTGTGGAATCAATCAGAAGATAAATATATGTATTATTAGTCTGCAGTATAAGTGGCTTGAGTAAGCCAGTGTGTCATATGACTTTGATTTATCTCAAACTGAAATAAAAATATACCATCAAATTATGATAGTATATCGAATATGATGCCGTTCTCCAAGTGGAAGAGCTTTTAGAGACATTAGTTTGGAGTGTGAAAACTCGTTCCACGAAGCTATGTGAAGCTAAAATGTCCCGCTTACTTCCGACACAATATATCGCCTCCGGTGAAATGAAAAGAGGTGAGTTGAACAACTTTCATGGGATTATTTATAGAAGAGACATATTTCATTAATTAAGACTAACAGAGTTGCTCGTGATGCTTGTGTTTCCAATGAGGTACATGAGTGGGATAAAGCAGTCACTTGGTATGCTTGGGATTTGAGCTTCAATGATGTGAGACAAATTACAAAGAAGGTCAAACTTGAGTCTTATGTTTCATTAGTAGTCACTGAGGTGTGTACAGCTCCCCAATTCGACTTCTAGTGAAGTGATTGTGCCAAGTTATCAGTATCCCATTTCACATCTATTGAATTAATCGACCCACCTAGCGAAATTGGAATCTCTGACATAAAGGTTACTGGTTTCGCCATATTGATCTCCTTAGAGAAAACCAAGGTTCAGATGATTGAACAGAACAAACATATGCATTCTTCAGAAAATTAAAATATCTGGCGTACATTCTTTTTCAATATATAGATGGTAAAAAAAGGTCTTTGAGAAACTTGGGAGTGACGAACAGAAACAATTTGATAAGCAATAAAACCGCACCAGCTGGAAACTCATTACATCATTCCAAATGTTTGTGACATGTGTGGAGATAAAAAAATACGGTTTTTTGCTTCCGGAAAGCATCTTGATTATCATTCAAATTCAACAGCTTCCTCCAGTGTCAGTGTTGCCAAACTACGTTCACTACCAAGTTCACCTTTCACATTCCTTCGTTCTATTTTGTTTTGGAAGTCGTATCAAAAATCTTTTTTTCGTTTCGGATTATTAGCTTCTCATCTGTGATATTCAGATGACTTGGAGAGTCATCTGAGAACTTTAACAGTCAAAGGCATGAATTAATTTTCAACAAATAACAGATTGATCAGTATTACTAACAATAAGCTACCACAGCATACTGCAGACACCCGTATACTAGCGCGTGGCACAAATGTGAGTGGAGAAGCATAGGTCCTCTTTTATGGAAAGGATGGAACAAAATCGCACCTTTAAGGTAACTGAGGAAAAGTTTCTTTGCGCAATTATTACTTATTTTTTTAAGTTCTCACATGTACCTAATATATATGTATCAATAAACCTATATTAGTTTAAAAAAAAGTTGAAGTTTCACTCCTAATTTCAGTATCACTCTCATCTTTCAATGTAGTTAATGTGATGGGACTGCAGTTTTATACTCGTATCATTGAAAAATGTGTATACTACAAACCTGAGATACGTTCATCAGAATATATTAGATTCTCATCGATATCTCCATTGACCAAACCTGATGATTGTATTTCACCAAAGATAGTTTTGTCCAACTTGAGATCTGGCAAGATATTCGCAGCAAAGGTTGTATCGAATGGATCGTCTTCTAAAAGTTCTTCATCATTTGGAATGGGCCTGAAAATAAACATGCTTATCATTATTACCACTGTTGGGTTGTATTCTGGAAAATTATAATATTTTCCTATATTCCATTTGTTCATTTGATAAACAATTTGTAGTGGCAAATAATTTATCTAGTAATGAAAAAGTTGTGGAATAAAAATAGAAAAGAAAGTTTTGACTTCCTACTTTTTATACAAAAAATGTGAAATGTAATATTATCCAGATTGGTGCTGAAGAAGCAAGTATCTCATTCGTAAACATTGAAATCCGCCATCGTCGATGACAGTATGAAACACTCTCATCTGAATGAAATTGTATTTCTTTCATATACTATACTAGTACTTTGTTGCTGTATCGCTGTTGTTTCAATGTTTTGACCAAATCAGAATCAATTAACTAACTATAATAGCGTTATAGAACAGTGCTTTCAAAAAACTGTTCCACAGCGCCATCTAGTGGCGAGTTACAGAAAAATTGATAGCCTAAAAACTTTCTCTATGAAAAATTACTTATACATGTCAAGTTTCATCACGATCGGTTGAGTGATGTAGAAGTTTATCACTTACCAACCAACAAACATCCATTTTTATATATGAGATTGTGTAGCAATCCTGTGGATGATATCTGATGTGATTCCATAATGGATGTTTGGAGTGCAAACTAGATAGGAAAAAGCTTTTTCTATATAATTCAACGTTCATATAAAAATAGCTGTTTCGAAAATACTTTTTTTGTGTAATTCAATGTTTCTGTCTGAAAGTAATTTATATGCATGGTTAACAAAAATTTGTAGAGAGTTAATTTTGAAGTTATTTGCTTTCTCCATTTCTTTGGAAGTTTCCCATATTCTTATATATTGATGGAGAAGTAGAATATGGAACAAAACAAAACAAATTGATACACGGTTATTCAAATTCAATTTTTTACTACTCCAAAATTGGGCTGCCCTCAAAGTGGGGTACTATCTCCCCTATTGAGGTCGCTCCTGATGGATAGTCTGCTCGATGCCCGTGTAGACATGTAGATCTTCAAGCTCATGGGGATGACTTTGTCATCTTGGCAAGGTCCAGGAAATGTACTCCTCCAAAGTACATCTGCTCCTCTGACACAGTTGGTACCAAAGGGAGCAGATGTCTGTCAACCCCAACAAACCTGTGATAATCCCCTTCACCAGGAGGAGAAAACTGGACGATCTAACGCCACTTTCCCTCAATGTTGGGGTCATTCCATTTAGAACAGAAGTGAAATATCTTGGCATTGTCCTTGATAAAAATCCCAGTTGGAACGCTCACTTGGAAAAAGTTGTGCCTATGGACATGTCGAAGGATTTGCGGTAAAACTTGGGTTTTAGGTCTCAAACAAATCAATTGAATATATATGATGATTGTCAGACCACTGATCACTTATGGAGCAATTGCCTTGTTACAAAAAAAGACTGGGTTTGTAACTGGTTGACATTTCTGTGTATTTCTTAAAAGGAATTGTAGATATATAATGAAGGTGAAGGTATGATGCCAAACTTTATAAAGTGTGGGTGATAATGCTCTCTATATCCAACTCCAGCTAAAATTTTCACTGCTTTTTTTGTTGTCGAAAGATGGTAATTGCACGAGTGGCATATCCCCATAAAATCATTCCATTTATCTGCGAATGAAACATAGCGAAATATGTCATTCTAAGAGTATCAGGTTGAATTGTTTTTTTCCAACTGCCTCAAAAGAAACAGAGTACTTGCCAATTTGTTACAGAGCTGTTCTATGTGATTCGTCCATGTGAGTTTGTCATCAATAACAATTCCGAGTAGCTTGACAGTGTTTCCCATTTGTATGTTCATATTAGAGGAGAAGGTTATTTTTTGGGATTTGCTTGCGTTCAACTCAAATATATTTGCAGTAAACAAATTTTCAGCACGTTTTTCAATGTTATGAGAAGAAGAGGTGAGTTCCATAAGGTTTTCACCGGTACTAATCAAAGTAGTGTCTTCGGCGAACAGAACGCTTTTATTGCATAAGCCATTTATATAAATGACAAATAAGAATGGCCCAGGCACTGATTCCTGCAGGACACCATGATTTATAAACCTGTGAGGAAGCTAGCCACTCACACTAGCAAAAAGTTAAGAAGAAATTTCAGAAATTGACGGCCTTCAAAGCCCAAAAATAGTGAAACTCAAAACTTCGGTCGCAAAAGCTTCAACAATTTATACCTCCTCTCCACATTTGTCAGGGAAGAGGCAAGATGGACTGCATATAGACTTGTACACATCGTCAATTGCAGAAATCAATCTTATGCAGAGCACACTAGACTGCTGGTTGACACTGGAAGTTACAGCATTCTGGGAATGACCTATGACATTATACCTCCAACTGTCAACTACGAATCGCCCTATAGGGTACTTTTCCCGAGTAAAGAGGACTGGATCCCCAGGAGAAGGAAATAATAGGAGCACATAGTTTTGGTTCACAGATGGATCAAAACCAACATCAGGCTCTGGTGCAGGTGTTTTCAGTTGCAGATCCATGACAGAAATATCAACCTGCCTAGGGACATTTTCGACTATATTTCAAGCTAAAATCTATGCTATTGAATTATGTGCGGATATATTGGTGGAATCCAACCTCACATACAAGTCAATAAACATTTTCTCGGACAGTCAAGCGGTATTGGAAGCTTCAAATTGGTAGCAAATTGCCAAAAACTACTTTCCTCAATAGAACGACTTAACAGATTGTCTCTGGCCACACTGGCTTGAAAGGCAATGAGGCTGCTGACTCTCTTGCAACGGAGGGTGCTGCAAGCACCTTCATTGGACCAGAATCTGGCATTGGCATCATTTTAGGTTTTGCCAAACAAACATTGAACATCTGGATGGCAAGGAGATTTGATGACTTCTGGCGAAATCTTCCAGGATTGGCTCACTCAAAGGCTTTCATTAACCCTAAGCAGCTTGAAACCAAACAGTCGGACTGAAGTAGGGATGAACTACGATGTCTAACAGGCCTCCTCTCAAGTCACTGTCGTCTGAATCATCATATGTAGACTCGGACTGTCGAAAGACAGTATGTGTGATGGAACAGCAGAGCATATACTTTGTGCCTGCTCCGCTGCGGACCGAATCAGGTTTTCAGAGTTCAGTAGAACTACACTATCAACATCTGACCTGAAAGATCAATCACCATATAAACTTATATATAAACTAATCGGCTTCGTTAGGAAGCTGGGTTTATTTGTTTATATAATCGAATTTGAATTGGTGTCACCCACAATAAACCCTTGCGGGTTGCGGTGGACGGTCCAATAGACCCGCTCACTTTTTACCTAACCCAACCCAACTCAAAAATGTAAAAGTTTACTTGTTCATAGCAAATTGTTTTTCAAAAAAAAAAATAAAAATTAAAAGCTGTCAAAATAATATTTTTCCAGAAAACAAAAAGACAGTGAAAATGACGATTTTTCAAGAAGAAATGGTTTGCTTACAATAATATCAAATAACAAAAATGAATAGTGAATGTATTTTTATGTATTTTATGTATCATAAGTATTTTTTTAAAAAACGATATGGATATCAGATGCCAAAAAAAATTCAAATAACTCACAAATAATGCATTTGTCCAAAACAATTTCTGAAGCAATGGTTCAATTATGGAACAGGAAGGTTTTGGCTTTGTACTACTCCATATTTATATATAAAAAAAATTGTGGGAAACGTTGCTCCAAAAAAAGATATATCCCTTCCAATTTGAACTTGATATATGTTTTTCATTTTTTATATTTAATTGTTTATAAATGAATGGAAAATTTTATTTTGCCGAAGGCAAAAAAGTTTCAAGCCAATATTTCAAAAATCATTTTTGTGAACCTTCATCTCAGAATAATGTTAAATAACAATAGAATAATGCGGAAAAATTGCGGAAAAATGTTTTTCAAATCAATAATTTTTTGTTGAACTATTTACGAAATACCTACCTGATTTTGGGTTAGAATTTTTTATACCAATTTTCACCTCTCAATTGAAACTATTGACATTGACGCCATGTATTTGAGAGGAAAGAAGAGTTTCTCACTCTTCGAAAATATTTTTTTTTAATTTTCAAACATCCGCAATCGTTCTCAAGAAGAAGAAAAAGCAATATATAGTTGACTTGTTCATAACTTTCCAAATATGCGTAAGTGCATCTCGGCTCGAATCCCAAATTACTCGGAGTGACATTCGAAACTACACCTCAATCATATTTATCGATGAAGGCTATTCAAAATTATAATAATAACTAAACTATTATATAAATTCAACATACTCTGCCTCAAAAGCGCTCCACTTGAAATCGTCAGCTACTGTCGACGAGACATCAAACTGCAAATTCACTGTAGCACTGGAAGTTTTTGACAAGCTCTCAGCAGCCAAGGCTTCAAATTCTATATCGTCATCATCGACTGTCTTGGCAATGACGTCAAACTCATCGATTATGCTCCCCTCATCGGCGGGGACGATAGAAACGGGTAGTGAAACTGGAGGAAACTGTATTGGATTGCTCAAATCAATAGGCGCTCCCGGCAGTGGTACAGGGTCTTCGTCCAAAAGAGTCTTTTTTATTTCTGATGTATCTGTTGGAGAAATTGTGAATACAGCATGTTAGGCGACAAAGTATTGTTATATCATCGAAAATTGAAACACAAACACAAGTTGTTAATTTGAAAAGTGTTCATTCACCCTTTGAAAAATAAATGGAGAAGAGAGGCAAATTTTGGTTTGTTGCGAAGTTCTTTCATCTGCCGGATGTTAATGAAATTATATCAACGTTTAACTCTCAAATAAATATTTGAGAGTCATCGAATTTATTTTCCAATGCATTCACCTTTTCATAACACTAGACATAATAACCATTAAAATCAATGCATTTCACCTTCAAGCAAACAATAAAATCAAGTTGCACTTCAGTTAACCCAACATAGTTATTTTGAAATTTCTTCATTCTATGAGAAATCATCTCATTGGATAATTTTTGAAAACGTCATACAAATTATTTTTCAACAATTTTTTTATCACGATATACTGACAATGCGCGCGCAATTGCAATGCTGCTTCCTCTTTCATCGGGGCTCATTGCTCGTACCTCTCTATCCCACATCTTCAATCACATCAAAATTTTGCTTTTTGAAGCTTGGCAAAAATCTTCAGGCCAAATTTATCACAGACAACTCTATATCATCATATTCGCAAATAAATAGGGTCTATTTTGATATAAGATTCATTCAATTCATTAATAGGTTTGAACTATCAATACACTTGAAGTGTTTTCAAGCCTATGGATGAACAGATATCTCACAGGCCAATCACAGAGAGTCAAACTGGATGATTACTTATGGTCATCCCAAAAAGAAACAATCTCAGGTGTACCGCAGGGAAGTATTTTAGGACCATTGATGTTTTCAGTGTTTATTTTTGATTACCCCACTTTCTTATCATGTTGTCAAGTATTTGTCTTCTTATAACACCGATACAGAAAGTTGCGTGGCCAATATAAACACAGATTTGCACAAAACATTCCTATACTCGGAGAATCATGGACTGAAAATCAATCCAAATGAAACTTTGGCCTTATGCATAGGGTCTCAAAGACAAATAGTAGAAACTTAGTGTAGCTTTAGACTCACTCTCGATAACGCAGACATTGACTGGGTTGACAGTGCTAAAAATCTTGGCGTAACCATAGATAGCTCTTTGTCTTTTCATGAACATGTGACAAACATTTTCAAAGTATCATTCTTACAACTCAAATCACTATATAAATTCAAGTATCAGTTATCAGAAGAAATGAAACTCAGGTTAGTTAAAACTCTTATCATATCGAGTATTGTTGGTCGCAATATAACAAACAGGAGGTACAACGTATACAAAATGCTCACATGCTGTATACCGTATGGCGAACATGTCACCCCATTTTTTTAAATTAAGGAGCTGAATGTGAGGTACAGAGTATCTGAATGAAATCTTACCCCTTTTAAATCATAATATTCATCAATTCAAAAAAAAATCACAGATGCTTACTGCTCAGTGCTAATTTTAAAAATTTAAAATTCAATGTATGTTAGAGCAATGAAATTGTTAAATTGACCAAAATAATGTTAAGAATATTAAGAGTTATTAACAACTATTTGATGTATAATTTTTTTCTCTCCTCTATTATTTTTATTGTTACAAAATCCCTAACGCCGCAGCTGACTACAGTCACGCAATTCGACGAAGGGACCTCCACCTGAGCATGACGTCACACGCGCGGTGACTGGAAATGTCTCGATCAAAGAATTCCAACGACGATCTTGAGAGCGATCTGTAGTGTGCGCTGGTCAGGCCCTATCCCCTGAAGCCCCGATACATTCGGGAGGGCGCGCCAGCATTATCAACCAATGACCACTCTCCACAAGTGATCTGGATAGAGTCTGCGGAGTTCGAAGAGAAAATCTCGATATTTTATCCGTTTTTCCTCCTCTTTTCTGACGATATTCGTCTCGTCAGGAGCTGAAAACTCCACGACAAATATCGTTTTGCTCTGGTGGTCGAGAAGGACCACATCAGGCTTATTAGCTTGCATGAGCCTGAGGGTAGGGAACGAATAGTTCCAATAAACTTCTCGTTCCCCACAACGGATTCAATATCCCCCGGAGCGTAGGGTAACACCCGTGTCTCGTCAATACCGTAAGAGTACCGTAAATGGTAATATAGCACTCTTAGGGCCGCGTTTTGTCGATGGATATAGGCCGAGGCTGCATATGCTGGACATGCTGATAGCAAGTGCATTAGGGTCTCGGGCGCCTCGCGGCAGGCCCTACACCTTGTGTCAGGAACCTCTATACCCATCACGCGACTGCGGTAGACTAAGGTGTTGAAGACTCCATCCTGGCAAGCCATTATGAACCCCTCAGTTTCCGACTTCAGCCCACTCGACCTGAGAAAAGCGAAGGTCAGGCGCTTTGGTAAGCCAAGGTCCCCAATGTTATTGAAGAAGACCCCATGCATTGGCTTATCTTTGTGTTTCCGCAGAAGTAAGGTGATCTCTGCGGCATCTATCTAAGCTTGTTGCTGAACGGGTTCCAACTCTGTGACAGAGTTGTAGTCACCTCGTTCAGAGTCGAAAACTATACCAAGTTCATCAGCTGCTCGAGCAGCTGTCCTAAGGAGAAATGCTCCAATTCCTGCAGCAACTTTGTTCTTCCCCGGCAGTTCCAATGACCAGATCTGTCGAAGTTTGTGCTGATACTTGCCGCGGAGAGAGTTTTTCACTGCTGTTACCTCTTGTGAGTGGCGTTTTTCCACCCCGAGGTAAGTATTCGTCTCTCCGGCATCCAGATGGTGTAGTCCCCGCATCGTCCTCTTCTGATATGGACCTTTGCAAATTGGTCTATCCCGAGTTTCATACCGATAGCATGCGTGTACTCTTCCACCACCCTCAGGGACTGATGGAGATTCTTTTCCTCGTATGTTAACAGCAACTGAATCAGTTGAAACGCTTTCAAGATAGGTGCACACGAACACACACACATCACTTACAGGTTCATTATATTTATTGACATTAATGATTGATTTTTCTATTTACCTTCAACGGCAATTTCCAATTTAGAAGTATCGTCGAAACTCCCCAATAACAAGTCCTTTTCCTTGAGAATCTGCCTCCTAGCAATGGGGCGTTTGGTAGCGCAAGTAGGCAGCTGAACTCTCCCGGTGAGTACTTCGACTGCTGATCCTAATGGCACTAGTTTCTTTCCCTTCCTTTCAACTTCTGGTCCTAAGATTGCTCTCTCGGCGATAGAAGTGTCAAACGGATCATCTCCGTCTTGTTTCTCAGTTGGAGACTCTGGGATGTACGCTAACTTGACTTCTCCTGCGGCTATCGCATCAATGTAGGCAGTATCGAAGATACCGTCATCTTCATCTTCTTCTGACTCGGACTCTGAGACCTCTACGATGCCAAGTTGGGATGGAGTAGGTTTTGCAGGCTCTGAAGTGTGAAAGGTATAGAAGTGAATTTGAAGGGACTCACTCAGTAGTATTGATTTAAAAATTAACATTCTTCATAAATAACTGAGCTACCTGCTATCATACTTAATGATGAAAGCTTAAATAGAACAAATCAATTCACAGTAACAATGAACAAATGTTTTTGATTGAATGTTAGGGGCTCGGACTTTCATTGTCTGGAAAATTTGATTCAAAAGTTTCGAAATCTAATCCGAAATTGAATTGAAACACCACTTCCATATCTCCCTGTAGGGTAGGGAGGGGGAGTGTAAGCCCACAGACTTTGGCCACATGTGACCCATTTCACATCCTCCCAAGGAGTTGTCCTCCTAGGTCATCGTCCATCCTGTCCTTTGCAGGAAGGTGGACATGTCACTGGGAGACATCTCCTTTATATCGGCAGGTGTAGGCCAAGACTCGCCGAACACACACTCTCTTATTGACGATAACTCCGGGCACTCGCACAGGACGTACCTGACAGTCTCATCTTCCTGTTCACACATCCTGCATAGAGATGTGTTCACTAGCCCCATATTATGGAGGTGTTTCCTCAGTTGACAGTGGCCAGTCAGAAATCCTACTGTAAGGCGTAGATTATTCCTGGTCATCGCCAGATATTTCTTCGGCGCCAACTTCCCAGGGTCGCCCAAGGTGATCCTGGCAAGATTGCATCCTTTCATTCCAGAGGGGTCAGACCCGTAATTTACTCCATTGCCGCGGTTGGTGTTGTTCTCATGGCTCCTGTGATGTTATAAACAAGCCAGTCGCTGTATTTGATATAATTGTTGGATGGCCGTTGCTTGTAGAACTTTCGGTCCCCAGGCAATGGCTCCATACGTTAGCATATGTCTTATTATTGCAGTGTAGATCCAGGTGACCACACGGGATGAAAGACCCACTGCCCTCCGACATTGCTCATAAGCCACATATGCCCTTTCTGCTCTACTCTGTAGATGAGAGTTCCATGTTAGCTTCCTGTCGAGGATAGTACTGAGGTATTTTACCGCTTCGGAGACGTTAAGTTTACTTTTGAAGACTTTGGGAGGTTTTGAGCCCGTTATACTTCTTTTCCTAGTGAAAAGGACCATCTACGGATCATTCATACCCCAATTAATCGTGAATTAATTCCCTACAAAATGAAAGAAAGTCTTGATAAGGAATTGAATTTCAAAAAAAACGACGAGCGCCCTGCAAGAAAATAAATCATGTGTCTACCTCATATCAAACACCTGTCGTGGACCATTGAAACGTTGTTCAAACCCAGGCAAACTATTTCTATCAGCCAACACTGACAACGACTCCAAGAAATGTATTGATGAAATACCATGTGGGTGTAGTAGCTCCTGAATGGGTGAGGCAGCGCAATTTTTTGAGCAGCACACAAAAATCCTCAAGGTGCTGGAAATCAAATCCATTCGGAGAAACGTTCTGAGGAAGTTAATTCCGCCGCTCTTGGTGGAATCGAATGTGCCAAGTCACTTTGAACACTCCACGTGACAGTATCCCCAAACTTTCTAGGGCGTTCCGGACTATCAAGGTTGCAAGTGATGTTCGCGTCTTCAATCAGGCGGATGGCTCTTTTCTGGATGGCATTCACCAGCTTCAGGGTATGCTCAGTGGTGGAGCTCCATACATAAGAACAATACTCCAAAGAAGGTTTATGAAGCATCAAAAACTGCTGAGGTGTGTATAGTTTTCTGGTTCGGAACAGAGTTCCAAGCTTTTGAGAAGCATCCTTCCCAATTTCAGAGACATGATTGTACCAAGACATATTTGTGTCCATTTTAACTCCCAACAAGACAGCAGAAAGCGAAATTGTCGGTCCTGACATTATTATATTCGGTTCAAAGACATTTCTTCTCTGCACCTTCATTTTTCATATTCATTGTTTCATTTATTTTCATATTTTTTATATAACTTCCATTTTCAACTAACCCATACAAATATTTTCGTTTCTTCATCAAAAAATCTTTTCTCAGCTTTCAACTCTGTTGCCACCTTCTATAGGCAACGGAAATCCGAACTCAAAACCAACTTCGATATATACAAAATAAATATGTTCAGATAGTGAAAGACAAAAAGGATCTTCGATAATGAACTTCTCATTAATAGAGATTGAAATGGAATCACAGAGGTCGTGGATGATTCAGAGGACTATAATGAATTCCAGTAGATCTAGTTGGAACAACAGGTGGAGAAAATGAAAAATTAGCTGATCAGAGGAAGTACCAGCAAAGTACTTTTTTCGGAAATTTCGCCAATATGTGAAAACTTTGGGGTTTATAGTCTTCTACAAGTAATCTCCGTATCAGTTCAAAGCACCACAAACAACAGATACCAACTTCAGGTTCAAATTCACAAAAGCAACCTCCAAATATTTCGCGAAATAACCTGATGGAAATCAAAATAGATTGAAAATTTTTACGTACTCCTCATCTTAGAGAAGTACAGCATCCCTTGAGTAAATATTCAAAGTTATGTATTGTCTTTACCTTCTTTAGCAACTTCTTTTTCTTGGACTATCGCCCTAGCAGTCTCTTCTGTTCTCCTAACTTCACTTTCTGTCGGTTTTCTCTGGAAGAAGGAAGTACTCTTGATCCGATCTAGATCTCCCTGGGTTTTCTTGAGGATGTCATCAACTCCGGAAGTGAGAGCGAGAAATTTTTTCCACTCTTCGTTTTGTGCTGCTGGTCCTTCCTCGCTGGTTCCTTGGTGTTCCCTGCGGTAGTTCTCTAGTTCTTCCGGCTTAAATAGCTCCTCTTCTTTTCGTTTGGATTTCTTGCCTTTTTTCTTCTTTTTCAAACCTTTGGTTATCTTGTGCATTATCTGGATTCAGTAGCATTGAGACACCTGAAAGAAAACAAAATAACTTGATTGCAGATCAATGTATTGATGTATTTTTGTATTTTGTATGTATGTATGTATTTTTTTTTCATCCAGCATCCAGCAAATGAAAATCCGAACGAATAATCATAAGGAAAACCCAAATTCCCACATTGCCATTAAGACATTCTGCACAACATAAAGTCCAACATGAAGCTTGTACTGTGAAACAGGTAAACAATTTTCAGCAACTCAAAAACAATTTTCATCTCCTCGTACGCTGCTTTTATTATAGTCCGATCAAATTAGATCAACAAATAAGAGTAAAACTACCTTAATTCCCACCAAACTTTAAATCGGTTAGAGTATTCAAAATATGATTAAAAATGAAATTTGAAAGTTGCCCATCTCTCCCCTGTATGGAAAAAATGTTATTCAAGGTCAAAGGTCATGAAAATCAGTTTTTTGCGATTTTCAGCAAAACGGCAAGTTTCATCATAAAAATACTTCAGACAAAAGTTGTAGATCGTAAAATTATTTACGAAATGTATCAACGCTTTTTTTACTACGAGCCACCGTTTTTGAGATATAACTATTCAAAAAGTTGTAAGAGTTGTAATCGTCATAATACGCCACATATACATCTCTGTAGTTGTAATATATGTCAAAATATTTTTCAATCGGTCATTGTAACTTACACTCACAATATAAAATATACATAAGTTATAACTATGAGAATTTCAGATAAAATGAAACCCAGTCCCTTAATTAATACGCCATTGTAACATTGAGTTCAATATGCTGAAGTTTTTGAAAATAGTAATTCACCTCGACAAGAAATTATCACTAACGGCATTCGCTTCATTCTTTCTTCCACCTGTGCCGAAAAAACTGCTGAACACAACTTTTTGCAACTGCAAAAAGGGGTGAAGTGCTAAATGTGGTTGCAAAAAAACCGGACTGTTTTATTCTCTGGCATGTACACATTGTCAAGGCCGGTCGTGCTCTAATATTGAATCACCAACAGTGGAGGATCCGTTTGATTCCAACGAAGCGACATGTGATACATCGTTATTAACGCAGTTTACATGTACTCAGGATGAAGATGAAGAAGAACAAGAAGATAAAAAAGAAGAACAAGACGAACAAAAATAAAAAGATCAAAAGAAGAATAAGAAGAAAAATTTGAAAGTTACGTAAATTGCCTTTGTCTTTCCAATTTCTGGTAATATCCATTATTTTGCAATAGTTTCAAATTGAACAGAATCACAACTGACCCGTGAAATAGGCCCACTGGAAAAACCACGTTAAAAAACGCGCTAAGTACACTACCTAATACGTGGCGTGGAAACGTATGCATATTATGACGATTACAACTTTTTGAATCGTTATATCTCAAAAACGTTGGCTCGTAGGAAAAAAGTACTGATATATTTTCTGTAGAATTTTCATGAATAAACTCACCGTTTTGCTGAAAATCGCGAAAAACTCATTTTTTCGACCTTTGACCTTGAATAAAATTTTTTACATATAGGGGAAAGATGGGGAACTTTCAAATTACATTTTAAATCATATTTTGAATGATCTTACTGATTTTCAGCTTGATGGGACTTTAGGTACCTTCGAATGTCGAAATTGACCGGACTATTATAGCAGTTACGGAAACCCCAGTACACTATGATGAGATTATGCATAGATTTTTCAGCATATACTAAGAAAATAATTGACTCAACCCTCCTTACAAACGAATAAACAAGTATCTATGAACTTCAAGCCCCCATTAAACATAAACTCTCTCCCATAGACCACTTCAAAATTTCATAATGATACAAGCCTGAACAGATTCACGAAAAGAGATATCAACTATAGAGTGATCTATGCAATTTTGTATGAAATCAAACATACGAAATGACATTCCCCAATCCTGTAGGTACTTTATTTAAACTTTTTCGAAAAGTACAATATTCACCAGGGAAATTCACGCTAATTGGAAATGAGAGAACAACAACAAAAAAAACTTGATTATGTCAGACTAGTTCAGTGTCCTCTAGGAAATTAGTGTAACTACCGATTGTCGCACCAGAGGGTTTTGCATCGCATGATTCAGAGGAAAACATGTTCAAAATTGGTACAAGTTTTTCACAGAGGTCGAGAAGATGTTAATGATGGTGCGAATCGGCGAATCACTATTAGAGAAGTTACTGAGGATGTCAGCATATGGATCGGTACATGCCATGCAATTTTTTTGAGCATGAAGCGTGTAGCAGCAAAGTTCATTCCAAAATTGTTGAATTTAGACCAAAAAAACGGCGATGAATCATTGGTATATGGTACATCGAAATAAAAATTCCAATGGAAGAGCAAGCAGGAGAGACAAGTCCAAAAAAACACGCCAAACTCGATCAAATATCATGGTTTTCGATTTCAGTGACGTATTTCATCAGGAGTTCTCGTGGGAAAACAATTACTGGCTTTTGCATCACAATAATGCACTTGCTCACTCGTCATTGCTTGTTCGGAAGTTTTTTGCCAAAAACGAAACCATAATCATGCCTGAGCCACCGTATTTACCAGATTTGCCACCCAGCGACTTTTTTCTGGATTGTAGACACCCATGAGAGGACGGCATTTTGCTACTATTGGGGAAATGAAAACCGAATCGCTCAAAGATCTCAAGGACATAACAAAAATTGCATATTAGAACTGCTTTGAGGATTGAAAAAAACGCTGGTACAAGTATATTATATCTGAGGAGGACTACTTTGGAAGTGACAGAATAGAAATTGATGAATAAGTGAATATTTTTTGACAAAACTGAAGACTTACTTCATTGTTTGAACAGAGTAGTAACACAAAATTTTCATCTGAGACAGTACCGTATTCCAAAATCTAACAGGAACCAAAACAAATCTGAGGACTGTATTGAGGAGGAATTCTACTGTCCTGGTGATGAACGAACGGAAATTGTCAACAATTGTTTCTTCGGTCTGATAAAATTTGATATTTGTCGTAATTTTTCGAAAAAATATAGATTTTTTATTGAAGAATTGATCTGAATGTGAAATGAAGCTCACCACATTGGTAAAAACCGCACCCAAATCGGTTGAAACCGTTTTTGAGATTAGAGAACACAAACGCACAGACAGATAAACAGACAACGATCAGTTGAATTTTTATCATACGTAATGATCAATTTGAACATTCACTGACATGAAGATGATGTAAAAAGCTATCATTACATTTTTTCTACATTGAAAATAAACCTTCATTTTTTATAAACTTCCTTTGTATAAATCAAGTTCTCCGGTTTGATTATTGATAATGTGTCTTATCCGTGGCAATTACATTCATTCTGTATTTACATTTTTTCATCACTATGTAGTCTATGCAAGTGCAAAATCTTCAAAAATCATAAATCAGCAATAGTTTGAAAATCAACCATTTTCGGAATTCACCCCCATTTCAAAATAATTGAATGAGTATGTTAAATCATAATATTCGGAGTTTCATTCTGAAAAAATATTTCTTACCGTTTTCTCAGTTCAATTCATCATCTTACTTTTCGACTTAGGTCCTGTACTATTTTAAATCGTATACAAGAGCATAACTAAACATTCTTTGAAATACATTTTTTGTCTACTACTCTCTTTCAGGTATATAACTTTTCAATAGTTAAACAGTCAACGCATTAGTGAATGCCTAATGCTTGTATATAGAAAAAAATCATTTCATATTTTATAATATCAAAATTGATAATTTTTTTTCTCTTGAATCAATTCATACAATCGGAGTGGAGTTTTTTGCTACCGTGGTAATGAATGACCGAAGAACTTTGTGTGGTGATGTAAAACACATCATCAAAAGAGTTCAACAAAATACTCAAATTCTAGATTATTTTGAAGAGCCTATAAATTAATCTGAAATTCAAAATTTAATCTTCACTTCATGTTAAAAAGATGTCAGAACAGATAAAGGAAATACTTTCGTCTAGTCTTTTTAAAAAGGAAGATTTTGACTATCTAGTTTTCTATCTTGATACAAAAAATGTGGGAATCTTCCAAAGGAAGAAAGGAAGTAATCAATTTCAAAATATTACCTCTATACAAAGATGTGTAGATCATGCAAAGAAGTAACTTTCTCATATAATCATTGAACTACACGAAAGAAGAAAGAAATCAAACACATTATTTTCTTTATCCCATGTTCAATATGAATTTCTACAAGGTGAATAGGTCATCAATCGAAAATGTCAGAAACATTATGTCAAGAGAGGCAATAAATAAGAGTTAGTTGCTTCCAATGTCTCCCTCAGAAACGCCACAAAATAAATTATAAAAAAACAAAATTGGCGAATTTCGGTCCTTTTCTAAAACTTCCGAAACTAATCAACTTTATAAACTTTAAAATATCATTCAAATGCGATATGACTTTCCAGTTCTAGCGACTTTATAGCACACAAAGCTTTTGATTTTTCCATGTAGACCTTCCTCAAATGCAGATTAATCAGTTGAAATTTGTATTCGAGACTAATGAAATTTCTGAAAAGAAGTGGATTAAATTGCCTACAGAATGATACGATTTTTTTTTTCAATCATTATGGTTGATTGTCAAAGATGGAAGCCACAATAACTCTTTTTCTTTTTGTAATGTCATACTGATACCTCATCCGCAATTGCCTAGTTGGTTGGCGCATCTATTGATAACATTTGGATTGATTTGGTACCGATTTTTCACACTATTTTACGTCCTTCACACAAAACTGTCTATTTTTTTTTATTTCTCTCCAAAATCACTTCAAGATACATAGAGTCAGATCAATGAACATCAGTAGCCCATTTTTACAATCATCTCCAATTCTCAAAGAAACCGATTAGAACCACAAACCTGTCAATATATTGGTCACTTAATATCCTCACTTGGAAATCTGGGCAAAAATTTCACCAATAAACAACGGGAACTAGAAAATATACACGAACACAGAAGAACATACACCTACCCCGGACGTAACTGATACGGAATTTCACCGTTGCGACGCCGCAGCTAGCGTCTCGATGCCGAGAGACGCCGAGTCAGTATTGATTTTTCCGATATCGAACAATCTGCATGCATTGAATAAAATGACTAATCACAGAAAAATAAATGCGTGAGTAACTAGGTAGTTGTTATAGTAGGATAGATTTATAGATGATACCCACCCAAAAGGAACTTTGGCTTCAAATTCAACATGAGTTTGTACTATTTAACAAACAAAAGTTATTTTCGAGAGATTTCATTTTGAAAACAATTTTTCCTACTCAAGAACCTAGGAAACTCTTTTCGTTATTGTCGTTAGCAGTTTACTCTGCGAAACAAAACTCCCATCAAACTGTAACTTTAGTCATTGGAGGGATGAAGTAAACAACCCCTAGTTAGGTTTTTAAAATCTCCGTTAAGGAAACAAATTTCTCAATCTACCTTCGTCGTTTAGGGGACAATCATTCCTCATGCAAATTGGGAATCGATTCAACTACTCACTTTATTGGTCCCATCACTACCTGCGGGGAGAAACACTGAAAATCTCCCGGGAGCGATCAGAATCAACGAAATGATTTCCAAAGGACAATGTCGGCCACTAGCCGGATAGAGCCTAAGTGGGTATTGATTGTGCGCAACTTCATCGTGTCCCAATTTCAGGATGGAACTTCAGACGTACGGAGAGAAGTCGTTCCAGAGAAAGTAATGATAATAATAAAACACAAGTAGACTTCAGTGACCGTATACAAGGTGGGCCATCGTTGTGAACGTATCGTTTTCAAAACGTTGTGGTTCATTTTGAAATACTTTATTTACCTTCATATACCTGTGCAACGTCTTCCATTCAGAAAATTCTTCGCAAGTATTTTTTTCTTATACAGGGTGTTAATTAAGTATGTAAAATAAATTTAACAGACGATTCTTTAGGTAATTTCAAGACGAAATATTCATATGAACATGGGTTCACAAATCCTTCGATCTCAAGATACAGGGTGTTGAAATAAAAATAAAAATATCTTAAATATTCTTTACCTAATTTTGTTGTAACTTGGCAATGGTATTTATAACATTGAGGAGCTAATTTAGCCCGAACGTGATTCAATTTAATAAGTCCAGTGGCGTCTAGAGCGGGATTTGAACGAATATTTTTGACTTAAAAATGTACGCCACTGACTTTTGTGCAGTTTTTATTATTCCTTTTGATTGAGCAATTAAAAATACAACTTTCTTGTCTCTTGAATTTTTTTCGCTTAGTTTTTAAGAAAAAGAAGTCGACCTAATGTTGTTGAATTAACGTTATCATTATTATTTCTGCTTTGATAATTATTCATTTCAAATAATGGTGGACGAGCGGGTTTGATGTCGTCGAGTAGAACTACATTTTTATCAAGACTCGTTGCTCCGATCGACTTTCCACACGAGTACTTTTATTCATAAAATTGTCCAAGTAACCTTATTTTGTTGAGAAATATTGAAAAATATCTGTCATTTCAAAGTTTTGGGGTGTGGACCATCGGGGGTAGTCCGTTCCTGACTTTGTAGCAAAACAACTGACTCCTGCATGAAAGCTCATCGACGGAATTAATTTGTTTAGTCAATTACCAAAATTTGGATGATTTTGAATATTCACTTGAAAAGTTATCAAAGAAAAACATTTTTCATTTTGTAACTTCGAGGGCCCGTAACTTGGTTACGAAGGCTTTTAGGAAAAAAAGTTATATGAAGTACTGGTGATATTTTGACCCCATCTATACATTCCCGAGAGGAAAAGAGGATGTCCAGGGACACCCTGTATAATGAAATCTGGTAGTCGAATGTTGAGTTTTGTAATCAGAGAAACTTCTTCATTCTCTAATATAGACATTATTAATTCACTTTATTATCCGTTGGTAAGACTGAAATTGGAGTTTGCTTCCATTATTTGGTTTGCGGAGTATCAAACATATACGAAAGAAGTGGAGAAAATTCAGAACAAATTCTTGAGGTATTTATTTTTTAAGCGATATCACAGGTGGCGAAACTATAACTCGATAAGGTCTTTGGATCTACGACATGAATTTAAAATATTATCTTTAGAACAGCGACGCCAATTAACTGCAATGATATTCATGCACAAACTCTTGAATAACAACATTGATTCTTCAGAAATTCTCAATAGATCTTGACTGGACATTTTCCCAATCAGTATTCCCAAAAAAAAATTTGAAAATATGTTAAATGTACCTATTTAGGCAGTATTTCCCTCTACAGTTCTGGTAAATATTTTACTATTTTTATACATTCATAAGTATTCCAAGGATTACATGAACTTTCATTTTTTTATTCATGTAATTAGGCTGTAATAGCTTGTGTGGATAATAAATAAATAATTAAACTGCCAACGACTGATGACTAAGTATTCATTCATTCTCCTGGTATCTACTCCTGATCATTTTTAAGGAGAATGAACTACGGACTGTTTGAAATAGGACGTTTCTCGCTGAGCAGTAAACTCTTTCCACATTTTCTAATTTCCAAACTTTGAAGGCGGCTGTTGTATACCAGTCTCAACAGTTTCATGTATTTCTAATATATACTGTTATCTGTTATCTAAGACATATTGAACAAAACAAGACTTTTCTAGTCTAGCAAACCGAATATGTCCAACATGGTCCATTGAACGTGTTATTATAGTCGTCTCAGTTTGACCAACGTACTTCTTGTTGTGATCCTGACTACCTATTCCATGAATCCCGGATTTTATTTTGCGCTATTCTGTCTTTTGTATTGCACAATACCTGTTGAAGTGATAAGCAGTTTTGAAAGACGTTTCCATGTTGAATGTTTTGAAAATTCAACCATTCTATCGTGTATTTTGGCTCTTACGTGAGGATTATAAAATTAAATCTTTCATCTTCTTGAAAAATCGAGGATTTTGAAAGCCACATGCTACCAGGGGTTATCTTCATAACTTTTGTTTCGATCAGACCAGTAACCAGACTATGGACAAGGAAATTTAGTCCCGCAATTTTTCGATACGTACAAGGGTGTTACATATATGTGTTAGTATTCTTCCTATATACATCAAATTCTGAACCCCACCAGCGTTTCTTATTTCTATAGCTAAGTTATTTACATTGATTCTACATTTGAAGATCTGTTGTTTGGACAAGACACAAACTCTTCTATCGCCTTCTAATTTCATCAAAAATGTACAGAGATGACAAGCACTGCAAAGAAATACTCAAGAACAAGAACCTCTGAGGAGCAATTACCAACCAAGAGAAATAATAAAGGTACAGAATTCGTTTAATCCAATGGAAGTCTGTAAAAAACTGAAGCCGCTTATAGAACTGTGAACTATGTGGACTCAAATCACACGTTAAAAGATAAGACCTCGTTAGTCCTTAGCTCGCACAAGTTTTGACTTCTGAGGGTTGCCGTTTGTAGGGATGCGACAGCTGGTTAACGGAAAAAACATATTTCAACATACACATATTGAAGTGTAAAGAAAATGTCAAAATGATTCTGAAAATCATTTAATGATATATTTATTTATATCGAGTGGTCCAACGAAAAGTATGCACCTTGCTTTTCTCTTCCATAATACGGATATAAAAAGCCTATAAATTTCATCCGTACAAAATTAAATTAGTACAGGAACTCAATGAAGATGATCCTGATAGAAGGCTGCAATTTTGTGAACAACTGAGCCAGCTACTAATTGAAGATCCGCACCTATCATTCAACACATGCTTTTCCGATGTACATTTTTTTTGAATGGAGCTGTGAATAGGCATAATTGCCATTACTGGGATGACAGTAATCCACACTCATTCCGAGAGGTCCATACCCAGTACCCTCAAAAAATCAATGTCTGGTGTGGCATATTAGGTAGTCATATCGTAGGGCCACTTTTTATTCCTGGGAATTTAACTGGTGAGGTCTACCTGAACATGCTTGAAGATACAATCTCATAACAGAAATAATTGAAAATGACCAAACTCATTTCCAGCAAGATGAAGCACCTCCTCACTATGTTGCTCCGGTAAGAGAGTTTTTAGATGACCGGTTTCCTGGACGGTGGATTGGAAGGAGAGGCCCCATCGAGTGGTCTGCCAGGTCACCTGATTTATCGCCTTTAGACTTTTTCCTTTGGGGACACTTGAAAAATAAATGTTTTGCTACGCAGCCCGAGTCCATAGAAGATCATCGCCAACCAATTACAGCAGAGTGCAGAAGTATAACACCTGATACGCTACAGAATGTTAGGAATATATTTGAACAAAATCTGTATTATTGTATGGAAGCAAATGGGTCACATTTTCAGCACTTGCTGGAGTCGGATTCTATTAAGTCAATTACACATTTCAAAGTACTGGGTTGTAGTTGTTTTTCTTCATAATACCTACATGTTTGAGTGAAATACAACAAATTAGGTATCATTGGTAAGATAATTTTGTGCCCTTTCAAAAGATATATCACTCGACCCCACTTTCTATTTAAAATTTTAGGGTTGTTACTCACCCTCGCTAGGGGGTTGAAAGCACAGGTAGAAAAATACATCTAAAATGTGTCCCCCTCAAAAGCAAAATCGACCTGTCTGAGCATTTTTGCGTTAAGTTACAAATGAAGGAGAAAAGCAAGGTGCATACTTTCCGTTGGACCACTCTGTATAAGTTTTTCTAAAGTGAGGTACCACACATTACAGATTCCTTAGTTGTTCCACGATGATAAGGAATGTTTCAGATCAATCCCGAACATTACAGAAGGTTCCAATATATTCTGGAATATGGAGAATGATCTATAGCCACTCTCAAGGGTTCAGAACTATTCAAAAAATTTCTTGAAGGATAAAACTTCAGCCTTTCAGAACGAAAACCTATCGAGCATCACCACAATTATGGTTCCACATTATCCTGGGAATTGTCGGGATGTATTCGAACTTTCCTGATTGTTCTCGAACTTTCATACTCCTGAATCGTCTTAAGATTTTTTTGTGATGTCGTGGAATGATTTAGAACTTTCTAGAGTGCTAAAAACAAGAACTATTTCCTCACAAATAGGGAAAAGTGAGCTACCACATCATATAAAGGCATTGATCGTTCCATAATGATCAGAGATGTTCCAAGATTATGTCGTACGTCCCACACTTCCAGTCCTAACACCTCTAAAAGCACAACCTTCAAGTAAAAACAATATTATATCAACAAAGCGAGAAGAACTATAGAAATACTTTATAATAAAAAATGCCTAAATACTTGAGGACTCACCATGATTAGAAATAAGCATATCAGTTTTTATATCATCGAATTTTCCTTTACCTGTTTTGAATATGCATGTTGTACTTTTTAATATTTATTTCGCTTCAACAATAGAATTAATTTGCTCACGTTCAGTTGTGAAGCAACCATAGATCGAATTCCGTTCTTGTTTGTCAAGTTTACTTTCGAAAAACAAGCTATATCATAATATGGCGTTGGTACTGAAAAAAATTTATACAGGATATCATTGGCTTATTTATGAAAATACTGGTGAGTTGCTGAAGCTAATAATATTCATTGAAATGAAGTTAAAAAGATTTTGAATGAATTTTTCATTGAAATTATGAAATTGAACCTATTGAAAAAAAATATGGAACTGCTAATCACTCAGGATTAAACCAGTTTTGGATAGATAATCGAAAGATTCATCAAACGAGGTATCACAAGATCCCCATTTATTGAAACTTATAGCATTTTCTCTCAGCAGCATTCATTAAATTGGAAGCATTTTTATGTAAATTATATCCGACCTTGATGTATAGTTCTGTACAAGAGTTCAGAAGGGGAGAACTTTTTCACGTTCTTATTGTGTGAAAGTATACATCAATGGAAATTGAAGTTCATTCATGAAGTGTAATTTATTATACACAGCTCTTACTACCACTGATTTTTTTCAAAAACATCTCTCGTGGAGAAATCATTGTTTTTTGATATTCTTGTCCAAGTCTTCTCCCCAAGGCAATCAGTTACGAAGCCGCCTTAGGGAGCCTCATATGTCTTGATTGAGTTCTTTGTCTATCCAATAGATGGCATATGCGCAAGACGGATCAACGTAAGACGTGTCTAAAACTACATCATCACTTATGATGACGTAGTTTTAATCATCTCCTGGCGATTCTAATTCTGGCTAGGAGAATATTTAGCATTGAAATAAAATGTATATTCTTTCTATTTCAGATCCCAGGGCTGAAAACTACATAGAAACTTCTGTTTCATTTCTTGTGGGATTCATTTTTCTTTATCATTCCGTAATCAGGTACATCGGACCCAAACTGATGAAGGAGAGAAAGCCTTTCAATATTACGAATATTCTGATGATATATAATGTTCTGCAAATTTTGGTGAATGTATGGTTCATGATCAAGGTAATTATTCTTTTCGGCTTATTCACTCAATAAGCACAATTCTAAAAATCTTACAATGAAGTGTTGTTTGAATCCAGAAGAATCTATAATAATAAATGCGGAAGTCACTCATTTAACACTCATTCATGTCTGTTTCTCAGTACTGGTGAGTCCTAGGAACCTGAAATTTGGTGTATAGGTGCTTCATAGGCATTAGATATGCAATAGGGAAAGATTTTTGAATTCTCCAACTTGAGCCCCCCCCGTGGGGATAAAAGGGGAGCATTAACATATGAAAATAACCTTCTCATCACTGTTTCTTTGTGCCGGTATATTTTCGGAGGCTAGAAGTGTGTGTTTTATATTCCAGATATGTGATTAAAAAAAATTTTCGAATAGTTCAAGATGCCAGCTGCAGGGGTAAGAAGCTTTTATAAAATTGTCTTTAATATATCCTCCATCTTTTCTATCCATATTTGTCTTATATAGTGTCAACATCAAGTGACCATGCGTACAACAATAGTGATATTCTCAGCTTGATAATCAAAAACTTCAGTAGTGAAGATGTTTATCATACCCTAAAGAAATCAAAGCCTAAATTCACTGCGGGACCTGTTCATATTCCAGCATTCATCATTGAATATTGTGCCACAGCTCTGGTTGAACCACTAACAACTCTAATCAATATATGCCTGAAAACATTAACTGTACCATCAATATAGAAAACGTCGAAAGTCTGCCAATTTCCAAAAAAGGATTAAAAGTAAGATGAAAAATCACTGACCAATTTCTATCATATGCAAAACTTCGAGGTGAAGAAATACAAGTGTCGGGGGAGGTTAAATATCTGGGAGTAATCCTAGATTCCAAACTGACCTGGAACCAACACTTGGACAGGATAAAGAGGAAAGCGGAGGTAGCACTGATGCTCGCCAGACGCACCTATGGAAAAACATGGGGACTAAAACCAGACATGGTATATTGGCTATACACGATGGTGGTTAAACCCATGATAACATACACATCTCTGGTCTGGTGGTCAAAGGTGAAGCAGGCGACCGCCATCAACAAACTAGGCATGGTGCAAAGACTTGCATGTTTGGGAATGACGGGAGCAATGAAAACTACCCCAACAGCTGCACTGGAGATACTCCTGAATCTACCTCCTTCACACTTTGTGATAATGGGGGAGGCCAGGATGGGCCAATTCAGACTAGAAAACTCACCGAACTACAGAAGATCGGACCGAACAGAAATTTCGGAACAAGTGGAGGAGCACATATTGAATATGTGCACGGACCACATGACACCGAAGTACACCTTCAACACAAACTTCATGGCCAAAATCATAAGCCATGAAAAGTGGAAGACCATTAGTCATCCCGAAAACATGTTTGGAAAAAACACCTGGTATACAGATGGATCGAAGACCAAACATGGAACGGGATCTGGAATATACCGAGCGGATAGAAATCTAAACTACAGCTATCCGCTAGGACTATACACATCCGTATTTCAGGCGGAAGTGTATGATATCTTGCAGTGTGCAAGGCTTATTAAATTGAGACCTCAAAGAAATGAGCGAATCAATATGTTTACAGACAGCAAGAGCGCACTAGAGGCTCTGACAAACCCGAAGGTGACATCTAAACTGGTCTGGGAATGCCATGAAGAACCGAATGAACTTGCAAACAGAAACAAATTAACTTTGTACTGGGTGCCAGGGCATTCTGGAATCAAAGGTAATGATGAAGCTGATGAATGCGCTAGACGCGGATCATCAACTCCATATATAGGTCCTGAACCAGCTCTGGGGGTATCAAAATCACTGGTACGAAACCAGATTAGGATATGGACCAATAAGAAGCACACAGAGTATTGGACAAAATCACCTGGCAACAAACACAGTAGAACCTTCATTGGGGAACCGTCCGAGAAAAGAACCAAAGAACTACTTCAATATAGTAGATCGGCTCAGAATAATTACAGGGTTACTAACCGGTCATTGTCCGCTAGAGAACACCTGAATAAAATGGGGCTGTACAATGGAGACCTCAGCTGCAGATTATGCAACGAAGGGATAGAAACAGCTCTACACATCTTATGCGAATGTGAGGCACTGAATCACAGGAGGCAGGCAATATATGGACGTATGAAATTACGTCCAGAAGAATATGACGAATATCCAACACGGAACCTGTACAAACTAGTACAGGGAATGAGACTGATGGAATGCATGTCATGAGAAGATGGGAGAACAAACGCAATAAGCCCAAGAGGCTGCAGTGTTTTCTGGGGACTTGGACTAAATGGACAAGTCAGACAGGTCCCAAGAAACGAAAAAAAAATCTATTGTCATGTCAGCAACATTATTAGCCCCAATCAACACGGTTTCATGAAAAAGCGTTCCACCACCACCAATCTTGAAACAGTCACTCAATGTATTGCAGAGGGTATTGATTGTCAGTCTTAGACTGATGTCATCTACAATAATTTTTCTAAAGCGTTCGACAGACTTGACCATAGTATCCTGCTCAACAAGCTTTCGACTTTTGGGTTATCCAATGACTAAATTACAAAGTTCAAATCGAATTTTTACAGCCGTAAACAGTACGTCCAACTCAATGGTCTCAAGTCTATCGAATATGTAGCCACATCCGGTGTACCACAAGGATCAAACCTATCACCCCTACTATTCAATATGTTCATTAATGATATCGGAGATGAGACTGATGTCAATTTCCTTTCATACGACTCGTATTGGTATTGATTTCAATGATTTACATCTCAAATATTTCCCAAAATCGGATATATCTTGCCAGGGGTGTATTTTCATGAATTTGATATCTTTTTTTTCGTAGTACCTATCCAAGAATAATTGGATAGTGTATGGTTTCCATTTGAAAAAATCGTGTTTCATCAGTTTTCTGTTTTATGTGGAAATTTCGACCACCCTGTAAATTATTTTCGAAAATTCAATGAACCTGTTCATGACTTTATACTTGAGGTGTGTTTCTGAGAAATTTCACATTTTCAACTCTTACTGCCTATGAGTTATGATTTTTTCGGAGTGGTGCTGTAACTGTCAAATTTTTCAGAAAAAAATGAATATCTCGAAAACTAACAAATTTGGGTGGAGGCATTGTTATACAAAGTGGGCTTGTTTTTGGGTTTTATTTTGAATCGTTCTCCATATATTCCTAACTAAAGCTCTTCGTGAAAGCCCCTGTATTCACATCCACATTCCAATTCAATAAAATCAATAATGACCTACTCTTATGTGAATCTGAATATTCATTACCTCTACAAACATTAAACATCAATAATTGAAATGTACATATATTTCCTTACGCACAGTATAATCTGAATTTTTATTTGTTTTAGCATTCCTACATATTTCGAAAAATTCATCATGAATGCATACCAATAGACTTTTCTACGAATGAACAATCGTTACTGGAATTATCAGCTGTTCGACATTTCTTTTGGTTGAAAATGTTTGATTGCTTGGAAACGGTAAGACCGATTCATCATAAATATATGCCATTTTCTATTTTCACGTGTATATTTTCTTCCACGGTAACATTTCACCTCAAAAACCTCAAAAACACTTGTATTCAACTCCTCATAAGTGCAATAGTTTAGTGAATCGTTTTCCAGAAAAAGATTCTGAGGAGAATTCAGAACGAATATTCCTACCCGAAACTTCGAAGTACAGCGGGAGAATATTGACATTGTTTCATATATTAGGTTGTGAGGATTTCTGTCAATCACATTTCCGTGTGAATTCACTGTTCATATATTTGAAAGTAGTTGTTCAAAATGTATTTTAACTTTCACTTTCTGATGATAACTATAATATTAGTTTTCATCATTATAATCAGAAATTTTCAATTGTAACTACGGAAACTCTATCTCGACCACTCTGTTAAGGTGGTTGTCCTGATTCACTTCAAGGTGTGAGAAGGGGCCATTGGTTTTGTTACATTGGAGAGTGCTCCCGAATGTATCGGGGCTTCGAGAAAATATTATTATGTGTTAGGTATATATAGTGTTTGTGAAAAAAAATACAAAGGTTACAAGAGAAAATTTCCAATTTCAAGAGAAAAGATTCTTCGTGAAACGTTATCCCTCACGAAGAACGAACAATAACAAGCCTTGATAATATCATCTGAGATAATGACGAAACATCAACCTTTGGTGATTATATATACAGGGTTCAACAAAAAAGTATGTCAAAATTGAACAACATTTTCTGGGGTCAAAAATAACTCGATTCGTTATAACTTATTTCAATGCAAATATGCATACAAAAAAGTTACAGCCATTGAAAAGTACAAAATAAAAATCTATTTTTATCGATATTGCATGAACATTTTTTAATGGAAATCAATTTATGACTTACTTATCGTATTAAAATTTCTTTTCATATGAAACCCCAAAATCTTTTTAGCCCATGAAAATTTTAGGGTAGTATTGAACCCCTAAAACACTCAAAATATTACTACGCCTTAAAAATGAATCGAAATCGTTGCACTGTCTGTTCAATACATCATTTTTGAATTTTTTTCGTCAATCAGCACTTTTTCGAAAGTCACTTTTTATCCTTTGAAAATTCTTCAGTTAGTTGTTTAACAATTATTGTAGTTTCCACAGATGAATAACAAACATATGCTTCAATAATAACATTCTATCATTTGTGACACCATTGGTTTGACACATCATTTTTGAATTTTGTTTTACCCCGTTGCACTTTTTCGAAAATCCAGTGTTTATCGAGATTCGACAAAAATTTGAGTAACAAAAAATAGGTTACAATAACTGAGTACTCATTTTATCTGCAGCTACAAATAAAATGGGTAATAAAATGTTGTTAAACGGTTTCATTAAAAAAAAAGATAATAATGTTATCCTAGGTAGTAGTCATCTCACCTCTCTCCTCATCAATCTACGGTATTGATAAAAATTATAAAATCGTTAGGCGTAGCGTAACTCAGGTTACGCTACGTCCAACGAAGAGTGGTATGATGACTGCTACCTAGGACCTTCCGAATTATTTTTTGGTTTTCAGTACATCATCTACATCATTATCATCTTTTTTTTTCAATAAAACCGTTCAACATAATTTTCTTTGTTCATTTTATTTTCAAGTTTTCAGTGTCTGACTTTGTTAATGAATTCTCATTCTGTTGAGTTCACTTAGTGCAGTATTATCAAATCAAATAAAAATGTACCTTATTGTCGAAGATGATATATCATTGAGAAAGTGTTACTGTTCTAAGAAATATTAGATACAAAACTTAATAGATATTGTCGAAGATAAAATATCATAGTAAAAGTTTTATTATTTTAAAGAATATAAGTTATACAAATTAAAAGTAGTATTTGAAATTTGAACATTTGGTGATTTCACAATTTTGGGGTGAAAAAGTAGTCAGAAAGTAATAATATATATGAATAATAATGAATATTCTCATGCAACACATAAATGTAAGTATAAGAATATAAAAACTATAAAGCATAAAAATATAAAAGTGAATGCATGGAAAATAAAAGTAAGTATCAACTTCGTAAACATTCTCAACTATACAGTTCAGAGCTAAATGTAAACATTTAGCCTTTGAAATCAGGCCTTTGAAATCAGAATCTTATTTACAGACTTTCTAAATTTAGTGGTACATGTAATGCCTTTGATCTCAATTGGCAAACGGTTAAACATTTTTTTTTTCATTATATATGAAAGATCTCTCAATTTTTGATGATATTGGAATCGGTAAACCTATATTGAGCTGGTATTTCGTCGTGGTGCAGCGAAAATTTCCTTCCTATATTTTTTTTGCATCAGACATGCCATTTCCAATAGTATGGAAGGCAAGGTCAAGATTTTATGCCTTCTGAATAAAGGTCGACAGGAATCCCTGAATCCAACTCTACACATATTTATAACTCTTTTTTTTGTAATACAAACACCCTATCAAACATGTATTAGCAACACGTTTCCCAAAAACAGATACCGTATCTCAGATGGGAATCTATGAGAGCAAAGTACACATTTTTTGCCATAAAAGTGCCCAATTCATTTGCTGATACTCTGACTGCAAAGCATCCTGATGAATTTTTTTTACATATGCACTGTTTGGAACCTTTGGTGTAGTAATGAATATTACTGGATTTTTTTCCCAACACCAAATTGTTTTTTTTCAACACTTCGACATATGTTTTGATCACCAAGTGATCATCTTCAAAGAGGATTTAATCTTCCTCTTTGAAGATGATCACTTGGTGATCGAAACACCTGTCGAGATGTTAAAAATAAAAAATCCAAATTTTTATCAATTTGTAATCCCAGAACCGGTCTTTGTGGAACACCACAAGTAACTGTCTGGAGATGGGATATGTTGTCCGGGAGTTTGACTTTCTGAGTACGTTCTGACAGGTATTAGAAGGTATTATGTAATCAGCCATTTTGTAACTGCAACCATCTTGAATTCGATACTTTTTGAAAGTGTACTACTATTCTATCAGTCAAGCCCTGTTATTTGATAACCACATTGAGGTAGTTAGGAAATAATATGTAATCCGCCATTTTGTAGCTGCGACCATCTTGGTTTTACAATGATACAGAATTTGTTGAATTGTATTGTCATCAAAACTAAATGTGTGTACCAAATTTCAGATCAATCTGTCAACAGGAAGGGGGTCAAACTTCAATTACTAAATATGGCCCAAACAAGCAAACAGGGCAAGCAAAATGAAACCGTTCAAAAATATATACGAATGTTTGGTATTCCCTAAAATGAATGTTCGAAATTACTTTGATCTTCCTGAATACACATTCGGTGCCGAAAACCGAATTTTTCGGAAGACTTTTGACGATTTGTACTTTCAATGACTCGATGCTTCAGTTGTTCACCGATTATTTCAACAGAATACCCATCTTCTTTCATAAAACTCCAGAAGTAAAAATCAATAGGATTGAGATCGGCCTGGACCAGTAATTGGTGCATCAGGGCCACTTTCAATCCAACATCTAGAGAACAGACTGAAAATATTGTCCCTAACTTTACCGTTTTCAAGTATTCTGGTAAAACCACAAAATTTTCAGGACTTCATTTAGATTCAGGGTTGAGTTGGCAAGTTCACATAAATTATATTTGCAAGAGAATTAACACCAGTTTTTACGCATTGGTACAACTTAAAAAAGGTTATGAATGCTTTTGGGGGGGGAGGGTATTAACATCAATCGCGCATAAATGGAAAGGAATATAGTATATTAGAGAAAACGTTGAATCTGAATAGCCCATTCATCCTCACCTCTTTTCTTTTCAGGTATTTTTTGTCCTCCGCAAAAGTTTTCGACAAGTGTCATTCCTTCATTTATACCACCATTCTGGGATGGTTATTGCTCTATGGCTTGCAACAAGATCATATGGTGGAGGACACTCTTTAATTATAGGGGCTTTGAATACTATTGTACACGCTGTAATGTTCTTCTACTATCTTCTAACGAGTATTGATCCTTCTTGGAAAAAAAGTATAGCGTTCAAGCGTAGTTTGACCCAAATGCAAATAGTAGGTATATTTTGTCTAGAAATGGAATCATTGAGTTTTGATCAAAAATTTCACCATTCATTGAATATTAATATATTCAACAAGTGAAGACGATGAAATCTTCCCTTAAGAAGACACCATCTGCATGGTCGGCAGAAAACTCAGTACACGAATTTCAAAGATAAACGAGGCTTCCTAAGGAAGCCAAACGAGATTCGTCCTCTGTCTTTCACTGTAGCTTTCACTGCAAGGTAACTAGTTGACACCAGAATCCAAAACATTGATATTCGTGAATTGAGTATTTTCTCTAACCCGGAGGTGGGTCTTTATGTGGAGAGATATCGTCTTCGCTAACTCAGGTTTGTTTTCCATGGAGAATGGAGTTCAACAATGCGTTCGTGCTTTGTTTGATGGTGGTTGACAATGTTGCATAGTGAATTTCATCAGTTCAGACTTTCATTATCTGATATAGATATGATTTGAAATCTTTGAAATAATAAATAAAAATAAAAATTGAAAATGAAAACTGAAAATAACGATTATATTTGAAAAAAACTGGAAGAAATCACAATGAAATGAAAAAATTAGCAAAAAATTTAAAATTGTACAATCAACATGAAATAAAAATTGAAAATTCAAGAGATTTCAAGCCAAGTTACTTCACGACATTTCGATTGTTAGTACCTACAATCGTCTTCGGGTGATGATTGAGCCTACTCCTCCGAGAGATGACTCATTACACAGGACTGCAAAAAAACGTTTTTTCTACACCCGTACTCTAACAATACACTTATATGACCATAATTCGTTTCATAATGATATCCATTATGATACAGATTTTTCATAACGATACAGATTATCAACCAATAGAAACCCATAATTTTTCAATCAAGAATCCTGTTCCTTTGTTTGTCCCAGATTCAAACCTAAGTAACTAATTGTTTTATTTGTCAAAATCAGTTTTCATATTACCTACCTATATTATCAAAATGTCTGAAAACAGCAATATAGAACGACTACCATCGACTCCAATATTTTTAAAAAATCAGAATAATTACAGTTGTTATATTCAATATAAATATAATTAGAATCTTCATAGTTTTCATATATCCATGATAATACCATTAAGTTTGTTTTTTTTTTAAATATGAGTTAATTACTGTAAATGTGTTCAATACAAATATAATATTTATAGTTTTTCATTATTTATCGGGTTTAGAAAAAATAGCGTATGCAACTCTCATGTAATGGTTATTAATACACTCGCATATACCATACAAAACTTGCCTTCGGCTCGTTTCGTATCCCGGTTAATGCTCGTGTCTTAATAACCATTATTACGTGATCGTTGCATAATATACTATTAAAAATTCGTTTTGATTTCGTTAACTGATATCAATGTAGTTTTTTGGCCTGATTTCAAAAATGACATTTGATTTTATTCATGACGTAAGGTTTGCCTACAAAATAATTATGAAATAATTGAAAAAATACAAAAAACGAGGAATTGTGGGTTTATTTTTATTATTTTAACATGAAGTAAAAACAAAAAAAACAATACTACATAGCTAAACTAAGCATAATAGTGATACACAAGTGTTTGCAAAGTGATTATAAGTCTTTGTAAAAACGTTTTCTTTTTTCGTCAAAGCTTCTTTTGGTACTTTTTCGGCTGTGTTCTTGTGAATTTTCCCTTTTTACCATCCAACAGTAGTCTGCCATCATGTTAAGATTCCACCGACCTTGGTATCTGCGTTCCATTTCTTTTATGTCTTGATGGAACCGTTCTCCTTGTTCCTCACTTACAGCCCCTAGATTTTCGGGAAAGTAGTCCAAATGTGAGTGAAGGAAATGGATTTTGACACTCATGTTGCAGCCCAACATTTTGTAATTTTGTATCAATTCAGCAACCAAAGTTTAGTAGTTTGGGTCTTTTTTGTTTCCAAAGAAAGCCTGTCATAACAGATTTCAATGAATTTCAGTCATTTCCATTCAAGTGACAAAGCTTTCATCGTTTAAAAGTTTTCTCATGCCAGGCCCAACTCCTTTTTCTACTTGAAACTTGAAACAATTTCCTTTTTGCTTTCACAAAATGTTTCATTTGCCCCAATTTGATATGGAGTGGTGGAAGTGAGATTTTTTTAGGATACACAAAACTTTGTTTTTCAACAATTTTAACTCCAGGAATACACACCTGCTTGACATAGTGTTGTTTCCTGTCACGGCTATCCCATTCACATAAGGAACATGGAAACTTAGTGTACCCACTTTGTTGATCTAGTAACATTGAAATAACTTTCAAGTCTGCACAAATTATCCACTCATGATCAGTGTAGCTGAGCTTATCAAGAAAAAATTCAAGATTTTCGTAGCATTCTTTCAAATGGACTGAGTGTCCAACAGGCACAAAAGCATATTGGTTCCCATTGTGAAGAAGTACACCTTTCCAAGTTCTTTTTGATGAATCGATGAAAAGTCTCCATTTCTCTGGTTCCTACGTTATGTTGAACATTTCCATGACGCCGGGTAGGTACATTGTTGCAGAAAAGTAGGTCACCCTCTTGAGTTAAAAAAGGGACAAATTCCTTTTCTCTAAATCGGTACCATAAAAATGAAACACCGGAGAAATATGTCTTTCTTTAAGTCTAGACAAACTGACACATACATGCCTTGTTCCAGTAGGAACTGGATTTTCCCAGTTTAGATTCGTTTTGTTATTGAAATAAATAGATTAAAACCGTATTTTATCCTAAATATACACTCACATCGTGTAGTAACTTGTTCATCATAAAAGCTCCATAATTCAGACTCAATTTACCGCTTATATAGGCTATATAATACAGAAACATCGAATCCGTAGCGAACCTAAAGACCCATTTAATAAGAAAATTTCAGGTGAAATGTGTGACTTATCTACTTATCTATTATAGGTGATATAATTTTTTTACTATTTTTTCCGTAATCCGCACACAAAATACTGTTCAAATCACCAGTTAAATATCCTACAATTTTTTCATCGCAGACCTGTGTTATAGGTCATTCGAGTACTTTCACCTATCCCCTCTTCCCCCTCACCGCTTCACCAGTTTAGCGGTAGATGGCCGTTTGGCGTGAGTTGACCATTTTCTGCTTCATTGTAGGTTTCCATGTTTTATCTCTACTGTAGCTTGGCTGAATGCGTCATTGAACAACACGTATGCAGCTTCTTTGAATTTCCTCGTGAACCAGTGTTCTTTCCTGTGGATGATGTCAGCTTGTTGATGGGTCCAAACATACTCCGCTATTCTCGATGTGTGGGTTTCTTGTGCTCGGCAATTCGAACCTTTAATGGCCTCTTAGTTTCACCGATGTAGGATTTGCCGCACTAACAGGGTATCTGGTAGATGCAATTTTCAGAATCGCAGTATGCTTTTGGTGGCCTGGTTTTCATGAGGGTGCTACGGTTGGTGTTTCCCGATCTAAAGCAGGTTCTGATGTTGTACTTGGACCCAATTCTTCTCACCCTTTCCGATAATCGTCTGTTATAGGAAAGTGCAAGCACTGGTTGTGACTGCTTCTCTTCTATGCGAGGTCCTTGCTGTCTTTTAGCCAAAGGCTGTTCTACCATCACTTTGGAATAACCAATTCGTTGAAGATGTTTTTACATGATGCCTAGTTCCTTCTTGAGATCTTTTTTCGTATTACAGAGCCCAAAAGCACAGTCTAGTAGAGTCTTGATGATTCCTCTTGTAGTCGATGAATGATGGTTGGATTCGTGAATCAGATACTGTCCCATGTGGGTTGTCCCAGAGTGGGTTTTCGGTATACAGATGTTAGTATGGGTCTTTTTCACCAATACGTCTAAGAATGGCAATACATTTTGAAATTTCTGTCTCCATTGTGAAGGTGATGAAAGGTCTTACGCTGTCGTATCTCAACCAGACTCGTGGCTTCTTGTGGGCTTCTTCAACGGTCAGAGTTCCAAAACACAGGCCCACAACATAACATCAAGTGGTCCCAAGCTGAGATCATCCACATGGCCTATAAGTAGTGATCTCCGAGAGAAATAAGTCCAGTCATCACCAAAAGACGATTGTGGATACTAACAATTGAAAAGTCATGAAGTAACTTGGCTTGAAATCTTTTGATTTTTATCTCATTTTAGTTGTTCAATTTTCAATTTTTCATTTTTTTCATTTTATTTTAATTTCTTTCCAGGTTTTATTTTGCTCAATATAATTGTAATTTCCAGCTATTCTTTTTCATTTCCATTTCCATTTGTTATTTTAGATATTTCAAATCATATCATATTAGACAATGGAAGTCTGAACCAATGAAATTCAATGCAACCTTGGTTCAGGCTAGCACCACTAATGACACCTATAACGGATCAAAACAGCACTGTCTTGTGTTGAATCACGAAAGGTGTGTTTTTGAGCTCTGGTCTCATTTGAATATTCAATAATAAAAAAACGGATACTGATTATCTTGCAGAAAAGTTATCTTATAATTATTAATATTGTCTGTTTCATCAAGGTACAGTTTTTGTATATTATATTCTCCTTTGGGCGTATCCTCATCACTCCTGAATGCCCATATCCAAAGTTACCTTGTTACTTGGTTACCTGTCAAGGCTTTTTCATGATTACTTTGTTCGCCGATTTTTATTGGAAAACCTACATATCAACGAGCAAGAAGGAGAGAAAATGAGAGGTGGTATTGGTAAAAAAAAGTAGTTCACTGATTATCAGATTTTTTCCAGATTGATGACTGATGTGTTCCAGATGTTTCAAGGACTACCAGAGGTTTCCTTGAATAATTTATTTGTAACGTTACGTTGAATGAAATAGCAGGTTTCCATTTTGTGCAAGATTGTACACCAAATTGGTGAATTTTATGCGAATTTTTTTTCATAGAGTCATAGAATCAGTTTATGAAATAAAACTGTATGCTATTTTGAGTAAAAGTTTTTTTTTTGCAGTTAATCCCACTATTGATATTTCGGAAACGGTAAGACCTACAAAGTCGGATGAATTGAACAAAAATTTTCTATTTTGGATAACTAGAATTTTCTCTTTTCAGATCGAGAATATCAGTGGTTGTTTTTGAAGTACTTACCGAGAACTAGAATTGAAGATGAACTTTCAATATTGATTCATATTTGTCATGATATGATTGAAATCAGTTTGCAATGCGACGTTTCGTTCAATAGATTTCATCATCAATTTCGTTTTTTTTTAAATATGGATCTCTATTTTTTTAGTCGATTTGTTTAGCCACTGTGCTAACAAATTTTGCTATATGTTACAATGCATGTCCGTATTAAAAAAAAGTTGATAATGAAATCCAATGAACGAAACGTCGCATTGCAGATTGGTTAATATCAGATTATGACAAATATGATACATTATTGGTAGTTCCACTGTCTTTTTTATATCTTTCTCATTAGTCAGTGTGGTATGCTTGAAGACTGGCAGTAAACAAATCTAAAGAAATGAACTTTAAACGTTCAAGCCAGTCTCGAATATACCTACATAGTAGGAATGGACTGACACCTGTCGGATATAATCCAACGCCCTTTGTGGTATGAGCCAGGGGAATATTTGTTTTCTGATAGGTGTCAGTCCATTCAACCTACTGTGTAGGTAGGTATATCCGAGACTGGCTCGAACATTAAAAGTTCATTTTTTAGATTTGTTGACTGCCTGTCGTCAAACATAGCCCACTGACTATCTTCCTTATTTATAGGAATCGGGCAAATTTCGGATATGCAGTTGGTTAGTACCTCGTTCAGTAGATGGAGTGACATTTTTGTTGTTCGCTCCAACTTATCACGAATAATGAAATACTCCGAAACAATTTCGTTTTCGACTTTCAATTATGGAATATCATCGACTTTAGGTCCATGATGGCCACTATCTTGCACTGATGAGGGGCTAATGAGCCTAAAACCGGTCTGCAAGTGTGCCCGTTCCAAAATTGAAGGTCGACTCTTTCAGTTGTATTGCGAATTGCATATACAGGAAATTTTCTGTGAAGATTCTTGCACTGACGCCTGTCGAATATAATCCAACGCCGTTCGTGGTATTAGCCAGTGGAGTAGTTGTTTACTGATAGGCGTCAGTCCATTCAACCTACTGTGTAGGTATATCCGAGATGGGCTTGAACATTTAAAGTTCATTTCTTAAGATTTTTTATATCTTTCAAAATAAAGAAAAAGAAATTTGATAATCCTAGTTTTTGGATCCCGAAGATTCTATAGTATAGCAAAACACGTGTCGCGATTTTGTAAACTTTCAAATGAGAATCTCACATTGATTTTCATCAAATATGAGTCAGTTGTAAAATAGTTTCAATTCAAATTAAAATAAAAATATTTCGAAAAGGCAACAACACCGTGTGAAATTGAGTCCATTCATCTGTACCAGAATATAATAAAGTCAATAATTCATCAGTTCAGTCAAATATGCAATCAGTTCAGAAGCCTAGAATTGAATTGAAATAATTAAGTATTCTGATTTAGTTGATTACAATACTGTGGAATCAAAAGATTTTCAATAGATGAAATTGGTAAATTTTCAGAATTTCATTCATGCCGAAGGATTTGTCGAATGAAGTAGCTGAAAATATGGACAGAAATGGTTTGAAAGATGAGAATGAGTACAACTTCGAAGGAGAAATTTTGAAATCTTGGAACAGATTGCCTGACACTACTACCAACTTGACAGATTCAGCAGTGGCTTTGTTGACGAAAGATCAATATTTTGCAAATACAATATTTACCGGTGAAATTCCTTCCGTTGATACTAAATCGCCACCTTCATTTTAGATATGATGCAGTCGATAACGAGAATGAAGTTATTAGTTGATGCCAAGTCAACATGAACGATGTTACTTTTCATCTACTTTTGCCCAAAATTATTATAATGTCTTTTTGGTGGAAAAATGAGTTTGAGAGTTTTAACCTCATCAAGAAGTATTATGTCAATACATAAGATTTAAAATTTAAATTACTAACATTTCAATTCAAAGCGATTCTGGACATTCTGAAGCATTTCCGCTGTAATGCACAAATATTGCATTGACGTGAATCATCTGGAGATGCTAGTCGACTTTCATCAGTCGTAGCCTATAAGTTACTTCAATAATCTAACGTGCCCAAATCGGGTGACCTTAGAGGCCATTCCACTGATATGTTTCAACCGATCCAGCTGCCAGGAAAGATCGTGTTTGAATAATGTCCAAAAAAAAGGTGGGCAATCTTGTTGAAGTGCACACTTATTCTCACTTTGTTCAATAATGTCTGTCAGTGTCCATGTCAATATCGATGATGTCACTGACTGAAATCTCAATAATTTATTATTCCTACTTTCATGGTAAGATAGCTAAAACGTGATTTATTTTTTTATCCATGGATAGTGTTATTAATTTTCATCAAGAAACGAGTCAGTTCATTCATGAACATTGAAGCACAAGCATTGAATTTCAAATCATAAATATAATCAATATCATTCCCGTGAATATTACCATTTGGAAAACTAATGAAGAAAGTTCCCAAACAATGACAAATTAACAAATTATATAAAACTAAAAAATCTCATTGGGGTTCGGAGAACGTTGGTGAATACATTTCAAAAAGTTCATTCCACACTTTCAGTCTATCTCTTTCTGGATCAATATGCATGTTGAGTTCCTCCCCAATATCCAAGATATGCATTTCGTCTTTCTCTACTGGATTCCAAAGAATGTTCAAGTCATTTCCATCCGGAGTTGGGTTTCCATATTTGGCGAAATCCGTCCATAGTTTTACAAATCTTCGTACTGAGACCTCCTCTAATCCATTTTTTTCAAGCTCCATACAATTTTTCACTTTGAAAAGATACCCCACTTCGTCTGCATGAGAAGCACCTGAAATTATATTGAAATTTCAGAAGAAATGTTAACAATCCGACTCCTTTCTGATTTGATAGTGAATATAATAATAATTTGGTTCGATTTCTGAGGATTGTTTTTCATTGGTACTCATATAATCACAGTGAAGATGTTTCTGAAAGGATGGAAAAAATTTTCTCGAATGTATAGCACAAAAGTCATTTTTATGAAAGAAATGTGAGTTTCATATCGACTTTTTATGGGTTTTGTCACAATTCACAATCTGAGATATCTAAGGATTGCAATAGAGAACTTTTCAAATGTGTACGAAAGGAAAACTTTTCGCTTCACCCCGATAAATTACTACGTGGATTCAAAGTATTTTTCACACATAAAAACATTCTGTTTTCCAATTATTCGTCGTGATAAATGATTCTGACACCTAAAAATGAGCTAAGAAATTATATAGATACTTATCTACTGTATTTTTCTTCAACTTTCATTGGATAAAAAGGAGCCTAGTAAGACTCTCTGAAGCAGTTTGTTGAAATGAAGAAAATTAATTCTTGTATTATTTCTATGAATTTGGGAGTTCCGCGGGGGTCCGTTTTAGGTCCAATACTATTTTTATTTTTCGTGAATGATTTGGAAAAGTAAATCACATCCAAATCATCGACTATGTAAGTTCATCATAGTATACAGTATCAAATTTGCTTGATTCATGCCTAAAACAATGTGATGAAGTTTTTCAATAGTTGAGAAACTGAAATGAGAGTTCTGGATACAGGCATACAAAACTCACCAGGTAAATGATCTAGTTTGTTCTTCTTCTTCAAATAATTCAGGCCGGCATCTAGCGACATTCGATATAAATAAACTGGATGTTCCTGACTTCTTGCATGCATTTTCGCACATTTAGTGATCCCATAGACGAAATAGAAATCTGTAATGAACTAACATAATTTATGATGAATATCTGAAAACTTGAACAGGCTAGTGAAAATACTTCGAATATTTGTTTCAGTTATCATCACTTTGAAATTGTACACTTTATTAGTGATAAAGTATACAATTTCAAAGTGTACAATTGTTGTAACTGTTGTTTGTAAGTCTTACCAAAAATTAAAAGAGACAAACAAGCTTTGCAAATATATGCTAAAAAAGGAGCTCATTGAATAGACTTACTTTTATTGCAAAAAACATTTCAATGGAAAAACATTACAGTTTTTTAGAAGTATGGATAAAATAAATAAATTCATGCATAATAATGAGCAGGGTGGACAAAGCTCTCCATTTGTTATCAAAACACACAAATACACTAAAATGTATCGCTCATTTTCATTTTTCATTACTGCAAAAAAAAATATATTTGAATAATTGGTTTTCAAAAATGCCTTCAATCATTCAAGTGTATATTATAAACCTTTCCTAGACTACTCTATTGATGCTTCAGGCGCTATACTGATAATGACGCAAAATTAACAAAATTAGATTCGACTGTTCTCTTTTGTGATAGACATAGCTCTATTGAACAGATTCTTTAAAAAAATCGGAATGGTAAAAAACAGTAATTTTAATTACGTTCACGGTAACTCACAAAATTGTCAATAGTTCATATCGCTCTCAATTTTGTACCAATAGTTCCTAGAGTAAAGGAACTGTCAAGCCATAGATCTGAAGTGTAAGGTAGGGTTTGTGGAGTTAGGGCGTGTCTACACCGTAACGTGAGACACATGGCCTACGATGAAATTTGGTAACTTTTTATAGTTCAAGCAAAATATACTCGTCTTGGCAATACAATGGTGGGGAGCTATACATTCAATGTTGCCAAACTGTATAACTCCAATCCTGATGACATAAGAATGGCAAGGCCACAAAATATGTTTGAAATAAATGAGAAAGCAAATTAATTTTTAATCTTCAATTTCTACTTCAATTTGATAGCAGTATCGTTGATTGTTTGTTAACTGAAGCACAATCCATATCGATCACTGGCAAAAATGCATTGGATCGGGTGTGAAAAAGATCTTTCCTTGTGATAATTTATGTTATATCATTTAATTGAGATTAACGTCATTATCAGTGGCATTTCAATATGTACTGTGGAAATTTAGCAAACGATTATTCATCTCTGTTTATGAACAACTGAATATACTCTGAACTTCACCCATTCCAGATGATATTTGTTTCATATTGTAATATCCTGGAATGAGGACGAAATTATCATTTATCATTACCATTATATCATTTCGTTCAGTAAGTTGCGTGCGGCAGTGTTCAAGAATCAGAATGAATATCATTCTATCAAACCTTCAACTTGTCTTACAAATAAATCATCAATCTCCAGAAGGGTAATTTTCTAAATGTGCTGGAATGCGTATTTTCCATTGGTAACGACTTTTTTGGAAGATCGCCCTCCTTATTTTAAGGAATAGTGGGAAAAAATACAGAAATATTTATTTTTTTGTGTGCTAATCGTAGCTCACATAACAAAGTTCAGCTTTCTACAACTTCAAGAAGTACTCTGAGTATGATAATGAAAACAGTGAATGAATGAATGACGAAATATTTTTTAGATACTAATAATAAATGAACATTCAAAATTTCCTATGTTCAGTAAGTTCTCTCTTTAAATACATATGGGTAAGCTCGAATGTATTCAAAATCAAGTGATATTATTTATTGATCACCAATAAATTTTCTTATTTTATTGGTTCCTTTGCTTGAATTGTCTACATGATATGTACATGATGATGATGTATATTCTATTGAAGTACCTGGAATACTTCGGTGATATCACCCATCCGGAAATAAAAATCCGTTAACTTTTTACTCATCGTTCCCAAAGTTGGGTTGTTCATATCAACACTCAGAAAGTATGATAAAAGACTTTCCACATTCGTGCGTAGATTGTTTCCACTCAGAAGTCTTCTTGCGAGAATGCAGAAGGTCTTTTGTTCTCCAAACAGCAGGCCTTCGCCAGAATTGTATCCAATCATAATTGGCATCTTATGGTAATTTCCAGAAGTAATCAGTTCTTCGGGGTGGGTCGTGATGATTGCAGTGGGATTAGGTTTTTCTAGCACTGGAGCGATCATTTTCAGTTTTCCCTAAAATTAAAAAATACAATCCCCTGGAGGGAAGAACTTTTGCTAGTCTAAACATTATGGCCGCTGAAATTTCAATAATTTATCGTCAGATTAGCACTGTCAATGAAAAACTTGGTCTTTAAAATGTGACAATACAAGGAAAAATTAGATGAATTTCAATTTTTCCTGAAAAATATTTATTTTTTCATTAATTTCTATTTTGTTTCCGTCAAAGTATTCCCCCTCAGATGTAATACACTTGTGTCAGCGTCAGTATTTCGATTCCTTATCCTCAATTGTCGCAAAAAGCCATCCTTTCATGGGTCTCTTCAATCTTGGGTACAGAAAAAATTGCAGAAATCCAAATCTGGTGAATACGGTGGCTAACGTATGAGTACAAAGTTGTTTTTGTCAAAAAAATCATGAACAAGCAATAACAAGCGTGCAGGCGCATTATTGTGATGTAAAAGCGGCGCACAATTTCAAGATGATACTCCTCATTGACCATATGTATGTGTGGCAAGAACTCCTGGTGCACTACTCCACGGTAAGAGAAGAGATCAGTGAGCAAAGCCTTGACAATCGATTCAAGTTGGCCTACATTGAGACGATTGTTCTTTTGTTTCGATTCCATAACCATATACCTATGATTCGTCATCAATTATGACCTTTTTGAGCAAATCTGGATCGCGGTTAACGTCTTTCCAGAATTCCTGAGCAATGCTCATGCAACGGTTTTGTTGGTCAAAATTCAGCTATTTCGGAAGGAACTTCGCTGCCGCTGGCATAAACCAACCGTGATGCCGACATCCTCAGAAACAGTTTCTTCACTACTTTGGTTCAATCTCAGCCATAGGAATCGTGTTCAAATTGATAGGGGTATAGTTTCAGGAGAGTTTAGTTTCGCAAAGAGTTTATTTTGAACTCAATTGCTTTGTTCCTTCCTTTAGAAGTATTTCAGTATAAAGATGCGGAAGTAGAAAGCCCAGAAGTGTTTTTCCCAGACACTAATTTGCTCTAAAATTTATATATAGTATTGTCACATTCTAAGGACAAAGTACTTCATTGACAGCGATGGTCTGACAATATAATGTTCAACTTTGAGGTTTTTCCTCACAATATAGTAGTTTTCAATGGAAACAATCAAACTTTCATACCCACATATGTGAAATTTCACATTGAAACATTACAATATTATATTTTGTTCGATTGATGACCTATTTATTTTGTAGAAATTCATATTGAATATAAGATAACAAAAATAGCTTTTGTCTGACTTCTTTTAAGATTTTTATTCGTTACAACCGATTTGGATTTTTTGAACCATTTTCAAGTAAACTGATGTATTTTTCACAAACAAATTCCGGAAAATAAAATTAAATGATGAATGTGCTTTAGTGCTTTTAGACTTTGCTCGGTAGGAGCCAAGAGCTTCCAAAGCCGCTTGACTGTCCGAGAATATTTTCATTGACTTGTGTATGAGGTTGGAATCTCTCCAACAGATGGAAGACTTCAAGAATGTTTCTTGTATTCTCTTTTTGTTATGAAATTGTACTTTTCCTTCTGAATTTCTCTAGCCTTTCAATAGAGTCCTGGTAAATAGCTCTAAATTTTATCTAGCACCTTCTCCGTATGCATGTTGCTCTACTGAACTGATTCGTTGGGTGGCCGAATGGAATAGTGAATGCATGTTAGAACTTTTCAACGCCTGTTTGGAAAGAAGATATTTTTCTGAAGTGTGGAAGCGAAATTGTGAATATCATAGAAGGATAGAATTCCCTGACCCATCAGCTTGCTGACTGACATGTGACGAATGTTGGACAGGCTTTTTAATAGGAGGATTTAGGTATGGTGCGAAAGGGAGTTGAACTTATCTCCAGACCAGTTTGGTTTTAGAGAAGGAATGGATAATGTGATGGCTGCAGAGAAAATGGTAAAGAGAATAAAATATAACAGGAGAGGAGGGAGGCACAGTCTAGTTGTGGCGTTGGACCTGTCCAACGTCTTCAATACTGCGTAGGCACCGGCGATTGAGAGATGCATGACACGAATGGAAATGCCGGAAACTTGGAAAAAGATGTGTATGAGTTTCGTGGGGAAAAGAACAGTCACATCTGGAAAGGTCTCTAAAACGATAAACAGGAAATGTATACAGGGTTATAGAATATGACCGACCGACTATGGTTGATTGTGATGGAAGTATGGTTTTGACGGATGAGAAGCATTGAAATAAGGCAAGGCATTGGCATAAACTGGGTACGAGTGCAGGCCTACTAGCTGGCCATCATTGAGGGGGGCGCCGTCAGCAGCATAGATGATGAATTGAATCTGGTCTGGAACGAATATGATGCGTGGAAGAAAAATATGTGGCTGGGGTACAACTTCAGGAAAACATGTACATATTGGCCAGAAGGCATGAAAGACCACCGGCCAAACGAATGAATGAGAGGGAGATCGAAATCAAAATGAGTGTGAGATACGTGGGAATTGTGGTGGACTATGGATTACTATTCATAGATCACCACAAGGAGGTGGTCGCCTGGTTTGCACCGGGCGACTATTTCTTTTGTGTTTAGAACGTCAGATGGTTTTAATGTAGACCAATCATCAGTTGAAAGGGATCCGGTACAGCCCTGGTGTCGCCCTTAGCTGACCTGGGTTTTGATGATAGCGAGGAGGATATTTGTTCACTTTTTACTGATTACTCTCGTACTATATACGATCATTGATGTTACTATTCCTTCGCGTATTTCAGCAAAAATAATTTGATGAACTCTATTTATTTCTCCCCAGAATCAGAACGAAGAAAAATAAACTCATAGAGATCCAAACGGATATAGAAATCGACGACTATCCTTCGTATTCCATCAACAAATGCGCAGTCAGTTTATGCTGTGCACTCAGTTTATGCTGCCCACTCTGTAATCTGTTCAATAAATCTATACAGTCTGATATATTCTTAGAGGTTTAGAAAACGGATATTCTTGTCCTAATTCTTCAAAAACTCTGGCAATAAAAGTCCAATTCCAGATGAAACCAGTTCACAAAAACAAAGAGTTCGTTGATCACACATCAGACAGTGTTGTTCTGACCTGTCGTAGGTTTCATCTATAATTTTAGGCCAAATCGCGGATGCAATTCTGGACTCAGTTGGCCTCAAAGGACAATCTTGATTGCGTATCGACGATGACATCCTCCTTTATGAAGACGCCAACTGAAGGAACATCAGAAGACTCAATTTATGAATACGAGTCTCTCTAGGGCACTCCATTGTAAGGCCAAGCTTCTATATCGACCAACGAATGAGAACTTCTCTTTTTTTCAGAGAAATGATAACTGATCGATATCAAAAAATTTAATATATAAACAACATTTAGGATAAATTCATGTAACCTAAAATACAAGTGACCCATAAGACTTGGTACTCTGACACAAACAATTAGAAAAAATAATTGAAAACACTCACGTAGAAATATTTCACTTGCTCGAAAACAACTTCTTCAACCGGCAGACTGTTCAAAATTTCCAGAACCTCTTTCTCAGTGTTTGCTTTTTTTCCCATTGATTCAATGAAATCAAAGACCTGCTGACCGGCTCCGAGAGACCAATGATTCAGTGCAACCCCACTCTGCAGAATCACCTTGTGGAAAAGACCTTCGTCACATTGAGATAGCAAATGAAAATGTACAGAACAGCTTCCAGCACTGTTTCCGAAGAGAGTCACGTTATCAGGATCACCACCGAAGTGCTTTATGTTCCTCTGGACCCATTTCAAAGCCAGTGTTTGGTCCTTGAGTCCAGCATTCCCAGGAACGTCCAACGAAGTATCTTCTAGTTTCAAAAATCCCAATAACCCCAGGCGGTAATTGACAACTACCAAGACGATATCCTTTGTTAACAGGAAATCTGGCCCAAACATATCGGGATCGTTGGATCCCGTGACGAAGGCCCCTCCGTGGATCCATACCATCACGGGTTTCAGTTCCTTCTCCTTATCGAAAAGCTGAAAATATTTCGTTCATTTCAGAATCGCTAGAACATTTCGTTATGAAAGTGGCTAAGTTTATTAAATTTGCAGTCCTAATAATTGTTCATCGACCAATATTGAAAAAAAAATAGTTTTGAGAAGTAAAGTGAGGAGTTGTTATTACTCTGATAGCTTATATATTTTTTACTCCCACTTTCAGCTGATTTTAATACATTTTCATATAATGGTGACAACCAAATCATTTTACACGGCGCCATTAAATAAATTCTGAGCTAAAATTTGAAACGAACCTATAATTCTTCGAAGCCGACATTTCTGAAAATAACAATGAGGAGCTACTTTGGTTTAAGCAAAAATGGAAGCAAACTGAACATTTTCTAACCATCCGTTCAACAGACAAGACCCCCAAAAGCTTTTCTTTCTTATATTTATTGAGTTACCAACAAAGTAAGCTGATTTCTGCAGATGCACGATATAAGAACAGTATTCACAGCCAACAATCAAATTTTCACCTTTTTACGAACACCTGAAGACACGATACCTAATAAGACACTGGCAGATACGAAATACCATGTTCCACCTGCTTCAGAACTCACATCGGCCAGACCGACAGAAGAGTCTCCAACAGCGTCTATGAACATGAGCTTGCTGTCAGTGAATCAAATCAAACCTCATTCCTCTTCGAACATCATCATTGAACAGGCACACAATAAGCTTTGAAAACACCATAATCATTGCAATTGGAAAAACTCTCCAGGCCAGGATGATTCGCGAAGCTATTAAAATTGGAACATACCTACCAGAGTTTGTGGACTCACAGTCGACCAGAAAATGGCAAATGAGACTTTGCCGAAACGCTGTGGAATAATCCTTGTGGGAATCACAAACACAGAACACGAATCGGAGCTCAAAAAACAGCTCATAATACGTTGTCCATATGATTATAGTGACGGCATATTCAATTTGAAAAAATGGCTCCCCCACCACCATTTGGAATGTAAATTCATATCCCATCAAAGAATCTGAAAAAGTCTACAGATTTCTTTTCGGAAGTTTTGATTAGGTTTCATTTCCGCTTGAACTGAAATAGGTTTCAGCATTAAAAATATCGGCTCCGATAAACTATATCTTTGTTTCGATTTGAAAATTTTTCAACAAAAATAACTGAATTCGATGTCACCGTATGTCAAAACGTTTGAACACGTTTTAAGAAACAATGACGCACATAATGAATATTAGTTAAGAATTATCCACTTGATTTATAAGAGATCAAAAGACCTCTGAAAAGGAGTTGAAATTAAAAAAAAATAAATCTCACCTCCCTTGTGAAGACGTTGAGGTTCAAACAATCTTCAACTCCTTTGGTTGTCCCTGGTTTGGACCCTATTTGGCAACAGATGTTCCCTGCTTCGGTGGCTTTTCTGATCCCCATCCACGGTTGGACAGGATGTGGAGCCTGGAATGGATCAGGTTTTCATTTGATTCTCATATCAAAAATCGCACAAAAAGTGAAGCTTTTCTTCACACTACTGAAAAAAATTATTACTTTTCTGACCACCTCATTTTTTTTTGTTTCTATTCGAGTCATGGCTCCGAAAAGGTGGATTTATAGTAATTCAGGACGAGGAATTTAGGACCCTGATGGAGATTGACCATCACAAGCGATGCGTGGATTTGCGGAAGAACTGGGCGTCAGCTCTGATACGGTTTTTGATGGTTTGAAACATATTGGAGAGATCCAAAAGCTTCAAAAATGAATGCCTCACGATTTGAACAATCGACATGCAGTTCTTGCTCAGCAATTAAACTGGAAATATTGTGCTTTAACATGGAACGCCATCACTTACCATTGGCTGAGATGAATAGAGCTGTAGGGCTTCTTCAAGGTGGCTCCGATGTGTGTATATACAAATGAACTATTAAATGAATTATCGAAATGTCAGAACATATCCATGCTAATATTTGTTAATGATTGTATATAATAATTGCTGCTTCATGTATTTTTCTGTTTTGTGTTTTATCATTATAAGCTTCAGCATGGCCATAACACATACAAGCAATATTCATATTTCTTCCGTGATGCCGCTGTTTATTCACATCTGTACTTTATTATGTAAAACTTTTCTTTTTTCAGCGAATAAACATTATTATTTTTATTATCACTATTATTATTATCATCTCGGACTGTTGAAAGACAGGGTGTGTCGCCTCTGTTTGGAAAATGCTGAAACAGCAGAGCACATACTTTGTGCCTGCCCCGCTGGGGATCGAATCTGGTTTTTAGAGTTCGGCAGAGCCGTACTCTCACCATCTGACCTGAAAGACTACTCACCATACAAACTAATCAGCTTCGTTAAGAATCTGGGTTTATTTGATCAAGTGTGAATAGGTATGAGCTACAATAAACCCTTACGGATTGCGGTGTAGGGTCAAATAGACCCACTCACTTTGGATCTAATATAACCCAACTCAATATTGAAATGGGTATGAAATCATTTACAGCATGAAATATTACTAAAGAAATCAAATGAGAAACATGACAGAATATAAGAAATATGACTCAGGGAGTCAGTGTTGATTATTTATTTCCAGATATATATTATTTGTTTTTTACTACAATTATTTCTCCATCCTGAACAGAAGTTATTTTTTCCTTCAATACATTAGCTTAGTCCGCTTTAATGAAAGGTTGTTTCTAAATGTTTTCTTATCATTACTTAATTCGATGCCTTTCAGTTTGTAAGTCTCCCATGAATTTCTGCTGATGTATCATAATCACTACCTCTGCAGTGTATCATCATAAATAAAAAAATGAAATCAAAATGAAATGAAATGAACAAAATCGCAGATATTGTGCGATTCACCTAATTACCACATAATTCAGGTATCTTTATTCAACACTCACCTTGAATCTAAGTTCCCCCACTGGAGGCTTTCCGTATGGAATCCCAAGAAATGCCAAAAAAGTTTCCCCATCTATGTTAGTTCTGGTGGATCCTTCTAATTTTCCTTCAGTAATTTCCACAACTGGAGAATCCATGTCAACCTTGGTAATATTTTTCGCTCTACATGCTTGTTTCACTACAGCCTATCTCCACTTTCCGCTGACGATAAAAACATAATGAACCAATTTGAATAACTTGATGTTATATGCTAATTATTTCAAGTATAACTGCCGGAACCGATTTTCAATTATTGGAACACACTTGTGTGTCCCAGTACGAGGAATGACGCTCTGAAAGAATTCTATTTTCAATTATCGGAAATCATCCACTATATGTTGATGATAGAAACTAACTTGCATTGACGAGTGGCCAAACAGCTCGAAACCGGTCTGCAAGTGTGTTCCAATATTTTAAAATCGATTGCGGCAGTAGTATCCCCAACAGCATATGCAGGAATAACTTCAGTGAATAATGCTGCACTGACTCTTGTCGGATATAATCCAACGCCCTTCGTGGTATTTGCTAGGGGAGTAGTTTTTTGTGATAAGTGTCAGTTCATTAACATACAGTGCAGGTAAGTCGAGACTGGCCAGAACAAATTGTTTTTTTAGATAACTTCTCATTTTTATTTCTGGACACCATTGGCCCTGACTCATTATTTTCACAATGTATGCTACCGTTCACCCATATGAAAAACAATGAATATCTATGGAAAGTCTGAGAAAATCGATTAGTGCCTTTTCTCTATTGAATAAAAACTTTCTTGGACAATTCATTCATGAGGTTTATTCATTATACCACTTAGAAAACATTGGATTGATAGATATTCGGTTTTGATTTTTTTTATTTCAATGTTTTTTCTCTGAAAAATTAAACTGAATCAGTAGAGAATCTACTGGAGTGTAATAAAGGGCAAACTGAAAAATTCTCCCGAAAATTTACTGCGTAATATGAACCACTGAGGTCCAATCACTAACTCACTTGACGTAAACTAACGTAACTTACACTGGTCCGCTTCTTAAATACACTCTGATCGTATCCGTCAAGACGACATAGCCATCCCCACCTCTCAGTTACATGCACCAACTCAATCTCTAGGTTGGACACATTAACGGATGCCGATACGAACAGACAGCGTTGCGCGTTGCGTACAGGACGAATGTCGAGACAGAGGTGAGGACATACCGATGAATACGCATTACTCAGCCATACGCCGTGGAGTGCACATCTCGCTCTCCTACTGCTGAACGGTTGCAGCTGTCACACCACTAACTTGGTGGGCTCACACCGATGGAACATTCATTATTTGGAGGATCTTTGAAGTATGCAGACGTATGTTTGTATTCAGACATGCACATGATAAACCCTGTACCTTGCCTGCTGTGACGTCACACTGCTTGGTGGACTCACACCGATGGAACATTCATTACTTGGATGATCTTTGAAATATGCCCCAACAACCAAATGCAATTACTTCATTACGTCACACACACACAAAATCTCGAAAAAATTCTGAATGGTCTATGCACCCGACATTTCAAGATCACATCACCTTGATTTCACTAAACCAACAAAAATAAGCAATTAATACGTCATAGTGGTGGGGGGAGGCCGAGAATCAGCTGTAAACAATCAGTCGTAAATTTCGTTAACGAATTGAATGATCTATAGAGACAAATTGAAATTTACTAATCTCTTTTGGATGGTTGAAATTTCAGAAAATTATTCCTTTCTGTTCCCATAACTGAATACCTGTTTACGTCAAGGTACTTTTACAAGTGAATTGCTTGAGTTTGAGAAAGAGATTAATTAAAAAAAACTTTGTACATAAATTCCATTCGATTTGTGGCCTCAGTGGCTCATATTACGTGGTTACTTTTCCGGAAAAGTTTTCAGTTTCCCCTTTATCACACTTTAGCAGGTTCCCTATTGATTTAGTTTCGTTCAACTTTCAGAATGTGGAAGGCTTAATGACCAAAAAGCCGAGAAATTCATCCATTACCTAATGATTGGGTTATATGAGAAAGTTGAGATTGAGATAAAGTCAACAATAACCTTTTATTAGTAATTTAGCTAGGAGAGTTCCAGCTCAAAATCCCGTGATTTTTCTTATGGCGCTTCTTTCTGGACCTTTTTGGACCTCACGGAAGGGATAAAGGTCAGCGCCTCGTCTCTGCCAGACGTCCATTATGTGTAAACTGAGCTTTAGCCTTCAAAGCCCACTTCAGACCAACCCTTCCGTATGAAGTGGGCCAGAATGAAGCGCCATAAGAAAATACACGGGATTTTGGGCTGGAACTCTCCTAGCTCCTAGCTGAGCTACTTATATTATCTGCCAAAATTTATGTTTTACCATTAGTATTTATTCTTTGAAATGATAAATTTCGTAATTACATACACCTAATTTGATTCAAATATATGTAAATGATATAGTTTATTGAAAGCACTGACTAAAACTGACATTTCAGTCATCTTCTGATGTGTTGCCAATTATCAATTTTATGCCAAAGGTCCCAATTCTACCTCTCATGTAAATACGAGTTTTATGGTCGGAAAAGTTCACAAATTATTCAAAAATGTAGCTGCAGAACATTTTTCATCAATTGGTTACTTTCGTTACAATATTAACGACTTGAATTGAACATAATAATACGAATGCAATGAAAAATTCCATATGTTTTGAGAGAAAACCAAAAAGCCAATTCAATTCGTGTTAGCAATCTTGTGAAAATTTTAGTGTTTCCTTTTAAAATATTCAGTTCAAGTCTCTTCAAGTATCTCGTATATTTCATACTGTTAAATCAATTGTGACGTGGCTAAGAGCGTGTCTAGTCCCACCGACTTTTCGCGAATATTCGATGTTCGCTGCCGTTCCAGATGTGGCGAGAATAATGCCACCTGCTTTCATGGAATTCCGATAATTTTCTACGGCCTTAGATTGTCAAATATAAACACTATCCACTCGCCTATCAAGAAAGTCAAGTGGAAGTGACAGTGCGATACGCAGAGCGATCTTGTAAGACGCATAATATTCGAAGATTAAGTTAAAGTGTTTTGTTGTAAGTGAAATAAAGTTTAGTTTCATTATTATACAGTGTAGTCAATTATTAGTAAACCCACAGGAAAACACGTTACAATACTTTGAGTACTATTTGTATGGAATTGGCTTCGATTCAGATTCGATTCTGTACCAATAAGATTTTTCATCGTTTTACATTGTTTCACTTCCATAGTAGCTGCATTCATGATAAAAGTGAGATGCAATATATTTTATCGTTCTATAATAAAAAGCGAAGTTAGCACAGCTTGGCAAATCTAGCTATACCTCTCAATATTGGATGCGCAGTAGATCAGCCGGCGAAGTGGAGCGAGAGCTCATCAAAATCGAAAAACTCGTGTAGCACAGAAAGTGGGGAAATCATTCTGTTTGGTGAACTGTGAGTCATTTGTTGTCTTTGAAAATACCTTTCAACAGAGAACTGGTTCTCAGTGGACAAAGCAGAGAAATTGTGAACAACGTATTAAGATCAACGGCAGCAACGGCAGATGGAAAAAGTATTTCTCTATTTTGAAGAAACAACTCAAAAAACTTAAAAAGTTCAATAATTCGGAGAGAAAACCTGAATCCCTCTAGTTCTGCTAGCGAATTCCATTTTTTTCAGTTTGACTTTTACCGATATCATCAGTTCTAGAATATCAAAAATTTCAGTCAAGGTTATAATGTATGTTATATAACTACAGAGTTAATAGCCATGATTTTTTCAATGGTTGTTTAATATCTCGTCGAGAGCAATTGCGATTGTACCAGTGCAGTACTTACTGTCGGGAATCCAATATAGTTCAGTTGAAATACGCGTTAAATAGCGATAAAAATATGACCTACACAAAATTTAACTTTATTAATTTGAACAAATGTCGCATTCCCGAAAGTTTTTCAGCAATATCAGTTTAAAGTGGACAAGATGGAATTTATAAGCTTGATTATCCGGAGTGTACTAGTGTTTACGTGGGACAATGTGGCCTAAATTTCTCAATGTGCTATGATGGGCATGAAAGGTCCTAGGTAAAAGTGATTTGATGTTTTCAAACAATTAATTGGAATGCAAACACAAGTTCCTCAATCTAAACGATATGGAAATTTTTCACTATGCAAACAAGTGTTGGTAACTCAATTATTTGAAACCTTAGAAAATGCATAAGCATTGCGGATGCAACCTACTGAATGACCAAATTGACCTGGTCTAGTGTACCCATTTTTGTCACAGGTAAAAAAATTTCACCACCGTCTTTTATTACCCACAATGATGTATCGGCTAACAATTTTGGATTTATTTATATTTTAATCCGAAAAAAAACAAAATGAACTTAAAAAATTATTTCGATTTCTCCTTACTCCATTCAATAATAATGAATGAACGAATTCCAGATGTGACTGGCGAAATTTAATCGTCACCCAATAATATAGTCTATGAAATCAATTCGAAGAGCTCAATAGAATCTGTGATGCACTGTTTGGAACCTTTGGTGTGGTAATAAATATTACTGGAGTTTTATCCCAACACCAAGCCGTTATTTCAACACCTCAACACGTGTTTCGATCACCAAGTGATCATCTTCAAGAGTAAGATTGAACTAAATATACACACAATGTTATCCTTATTCATAACATTGATACCTCTGATAGGTACCTACGTCTTAACTGTTCTTGAATTAATTTTACAATGTGTCCTTACGTAATAGTCAAGTGAATCTAATAATTGATATATCATTTCAACAAGCTATATATTATACTATTAGGTATTGATCAATCATTGTTATTCATAATATTATTATCTACACTCTTCGGCATCTAGATGCCTGTTATTAACTTGTCAAACTAATCCTAATGAACTAAAGTCTATGAAATGGTTTTGTTGCAGAATATGATGGACGACTACTGATTTTTGTGGTCTTCCATATTTTGGGTGTTCTGAGTGTTCTTCATTTCTTATTTCATAAGTTCTTTTCGTCCGTTCATAATATTTTGCATCGTTATTTTGCATAATATTTTGCATTTCGTTAATTTCAGAATTTTTCGGATTATTGACTTTGTCCTTTGGATTTCCCAAAAGACCCTTGTATGACTTGTATTAAACACCACCTTCATACCTTGTTTCTCG